AATAAATCTAGTGACATGATAGAAATGACTTGCATAAGGTAGGGTCAAACAGTACCTACGTATAATTAACGTATAACCCAAAGACAAGAATGTAAAGTACGTTTTTAGAAACAGTATTTCCAGTTCGTATGCACTGTGACCATCAAAATCCAATTATGCAATCTAAACAAAGAAGACAGACTAACGAAACAAATACTTATTCGATTAGGCCAAACCATTGCGTAAATACTTTCAATAAGTCATTCAATCATTAAAGAAAAAGATGGATTTCCTACATAGTCCGTGCAATATTATGCTATTTTTATAGCAAATTATGTCGAAAAACTTCGGAGAGGCCACTCACCCATAATACGGTCAAAGCTTCCAATGCAACGAAATAATGTGTCATGTAGAAAAAAGCAGACCTATGTACAAATAATAAGTACCTAAGAATCAACAGAAGTATTCTTGCGGAATCGGCGTTTTGTCTACAACAATCAGGTTAAGCAACAGACGTTTCCAGCAGACTGCTAGAGAGCAACAACAAGCAGCTTCTCCACCCAACAACTTTGAGTTCAGTAAGACAAGACCTCATTGTCAACGGTTTGGCATAATACAGTAACAAGGTAAAACACTAAAGAAAAGTCTTAATAAACGTGGAATAAATTTTTGATATAAAGAGTCCAAAAAATGTGAAAATATGAATATAAAAATCCTGAACAAAAGTTTCCAACTACAAAAATTGACATGACTCATGAAGTAATGCTGCAATAAAAGAATACATTTTCTGAGTATAGTTTTGGTTAGAACAGACTACAGAACCTCTGCATACATTCATAATTGTCCTTCTTGCACGTGTAAATTGGTTCCATTGTCCATTAATGTTGAATAGTTAAATCGATAGTCACATGTACCACATCCCCTTCTATAAGGTTTCTATGCTTAAATAGCCATTTTCGTCGAAATTACGGAAACGGAAAGTACTCCTACTCTCCGATCCCTGGGTTTTTGTTAGTTACAAGAGTTAAATGACCTCTTCTGTTTGATGTCACTGAAGCAATGACAGTGTTATACTAGGTTTCTCCATTTCCACAAAGTGAAAGGCTGAGTCAATGGGCAGAACTCGCTCATTAGAGATGGCTAGCCGGGAGCATTTGGAAGAGGCGTATAAACAAGTTAGATCCTTTTTTCACTACATATTGCAACAGGAGTTCCTCTTCTTTCCACTACTTAAGACAAAAATGTTAGTTCTCATACTGAAGGGCAGATCTAAGCTTACACACACGTTTGAAGACACATAAACATATACTCATATCTCTTATCCCCACTCTTTCCTCTATGAATTATTAGCTGCCGAAATTGGCAGAATAATCGTTTTTCAAATGACATTTACGCCAAATACGTATTCCGTCCATTTTTTATTGATAAATCAACTACATAATTCAGGAAAAATGAATGAAAGTCATATGCACAACAAGTATGATTCTTAGCCCTTGATGTACAAATCTCAGGACAGTGGAAAACTAGTGTACATTTACTCTTAAGTTATGCCTTCGTCGATGAAGAACTCCTAGTTGACGACCTTTTGATATAGTAGTTGTAGGCCACGGTGTTTTGGTATCTTACATAATGGAGCTTAAAAGCAAACTCTCTGAGGTTGACCTGAGTTCCCTAGAACATTTGCTTCAAGCTTGTCAGTAACCTCAGGCTTAGGGAGCAGGATAGTCTTTTGTACTGAAACAGCTTGTAGTCTGTACAAATCTGCAGGTGGTCGCCGGAATCTAGTCTGTGGTGGTTAGCATTCTATCTGGTACTCAATCGACTTTCCTCTATATTCAAACGCTTAACATGACCGTTCAAACCTTCGGTTAGAACTACACAAACTAATGGATATGCCTTCTTGAGACTATTTAGTAGGTGGTAAAACTCAACTTCGATCTGTTAGACATGCCACAAATATCCGAAGTTCGACAACGTTTTAACAAGCAACATCTTTACAATCGAGATATGCCAACCCGGTCGAATCAGAAGTCAAGAATGTAGGAGTTTGAAGATGTATTTGAAAGGCTATCGGTATGTTGAAGGAACGTTTGGTCTAACTGGCTAGTAGTTGTAAGGGATGCGTAGCACGACGTACCCACTCGTGATCTGGTGAGGATGCGTGACCGAGAGCCTTCAGATAGTTGTGCCCATTAAAATCAATGAGATCAGGATCAAACGTCGAGGCTTTGCAAAGCTATTGATTTCAAGGATTTATTTGCCGCTACACTTATAACATATAGGTCAGGATTTCGAAGAGACATTTCCACTGTTTGATAGATACTTCTAAATTAACAGCACACAAACGTTTTTCAATCCGAACCTTACCGACTAAAGCATCTCCTGATTTGGCATTTAATGTTACACTGACGCCAACCGAACTGGACTCTGATTCTACTGAATCTTCTAAAAGGCGTACACGGAAAGAACATTTTGGACTAACGGAGTACGAATACGTAGTAATTCACAAAAGCTATGGATATGAATCTCAGATACACAGCACACACACACACAGCACAAGACTTTGGAAAAAGCTGAACTGATCTGTGGTTCAACCTGCACCAATAAGCGAGAGTTAGATGCAAGTTTAAACTGCACATGTGACTCCACGAAGGCCGTAAACTTCGTTTCCGACTATAGCACCCACAAGACCGACCATTTAGACAAGACAGGATTCTCAACAGATGGAAGCTGTTGAATGGCTTGAAGGTATACACAAATGAAATAAAAGGAAATGAGAAGCTGAGAGTTTACATTCATCTGTCACAAGGGAATAGTAAATATCGTCCGCATGGATAGAGTAAAGACTTTCTGTGTTGATAACTACTATCGATGAATATGGCATGAAACAGTGAATGTGTGGAGGTCGAGGCCTGATTAAATTACTGAGTTATAGTGGCTGACACTTATTTATTTATTTATTTAAACACATAAATATTGGTACAAAAAAGCACCAGATAAATATGCGCCTCACAAATCTCATTTGATTTGTGTGAGGGCTGTGATACTGCACAGGTGCCCGAACTGGAGATGGTTTTCTTAGGGGGCCACACCCCGGGCCCTTGACCTAAAGGTCTGATCCACAAGGCAGTGGAGCATCGTGAGGAGATGCATACCCATGGTGGCCGGTGACCAACAATAGGTTCATACGCCATTCGTTCCATCAGGATACTGGAGCCCATGTGCACCATTGGTTTAGAATCAGGGTTTTCCAACTCCCCTAGGTAAACACTCCACATGCACCAACCCGGTTAAAGCGCCGGACATTCGCTTTCCGTCCTCTCAATTTCGTAGACAATACCGCCGCCACGAGAAGGCAGTGAGTAGGACTTCCCTGATAGAGGCTATATATTCATGTGGCCATGAGAGAGCATTTCGAGAGGGAGAGCAGACTCTCCCCACTCTCGGCCGTACCAGGGCATTTGGGGGCAGTGGCTGATACACTGCCTTTTCATATAAAATTACAGAAGTTGAAAATCCTTGACATACCTTGTCAGTTGTAAACACATGTGACTTATCTCAGCATGATCTATACCTACTAAACTAAGATTTGTGGACGTAACGTCCAAAAAAGTAGATCAAAAGGCTTATTCAGCGCACTGAGCTGTTTAAACCAATATCACAGTAAATTTTCTTAAGTGACCGACTTTCACATACAGCCTAAAACAGGTGGTTGACATTGCTTAATTTGCCAATTACGTTTTAGCAACAGGCATATTTGATAAACTTATTGGAGTTATTCATAATGCATACTCACTGTAGATTAACTGAAAAGTCAGTTGTTTTAGTGATTTCGTCTGGCATTTGTCAGATCTCTAAAGGGAAACATTTGATTTTTAGTCAGATTTATATTGTCAGTGTAGATAAGTAATTATCATAAACAGCCCTTACAGATTGAAGCCTTTTGGAAGATCTAAGTGTACAACAAATCAGGGAGGGTCTTCTTTACCTGAATTGTAGGTTTTTTAACAGATACAATGACTGGTGAACTCATGTCTCTACAAAGTATTCCCATACATAAATCTAGATAAATAAATCTTAATAGACCTTGAGGTGATTCTTTAACTTAATACATACTAGTAAGTTATTATTTTAATTTCTTATCATAGGATGGTCTAATGAAGAAATTTATTGTAAAGAATACTTTATACACGAATATAGGGACTTTTTTATTCTACTGAGAAAACCTAACCAGAACATGTGACTGACATATGATAGACAAAATGCCATCAAGGAAGTGAACAAAAGCTATTAAACTATTTAAGTTTTATCAGAAGAAAGTTTTGTGGAGATTTTAGTAATTTTATATAGTTGAAATCATGAGTCGATTGGGACTAGACCAACATGGAAAGCCAGGAAGCATTGGACGGCCGTTTCGTCCTATCGTGGGACTCCTCAACAGTGCACATCCACGATCTCGCCTCGCAAGATTCGAACCCAGGATCTGTCAGTATCACGCGCGAGCGCTTAACCCCGTTTTGATAATGATCAAATGCTTACTGGTGACTGGCTCCATGAAGTATTTCCCGGAGTTCTCGTGAGAGGCAGTAACCAGTGGAGTTCAACCAGGTCTGTTGGGAAATATCAATTAGATGAAGACAATGGTGGATGTGTCCTCAACCTCGTGGATTGGTTGAAGTTAGACATTAACACCGTGGTTAAGCGCTCGCGCGCGAGACTGATAGGTTCTGAGTTCGAATCTCGTGAGGCGGGATCGTGGATGCGCACTGCTGAGGAGTCCCATGATAGGATGAAACGGCCATCCAATGCTTCCAGGCTTTTCATGGTTTTATGATTTCAACTATATTTAAGTTTTAATTCAGAACAGCACACAAACACGTAGAAATTGCATCGGAAAATAAAGATGAACATAGCGGACTGTAAAAATTCATAAATAGTCAAAGAACGCATAATGGAATTCGGACCCTTGTGATAAACGCTAGGGAACTGCTTATGTGAAAAAATGGAAACATGGCGAATTACTATTGCTTCATACGTTATATTATCATTAGATTTAATAGAATAAATTAGTATATCATGTTCTGTAGAACGAAAAGAACAAGGTAGAATTGCATTTTATTTCTGAAACAAAGTAAGGTGTAGAAATAGAATACTGTATTATTACATCGTGATAACAGATAAAGGAATAAAGAAACAATTATTTACTTGTTTCCTCGTATTCAGGATTCTTTCGGAGAAGTATAAAACCCTCTAAAGGAAGCTGTGTTATAGGTAAATATTCATCGGTTGCAAGTTCCGCACGTTCACCATGAGATAATAAAACTGGAGTGGTATGAGTCTGAAATCCTGTGATGGTTTTCGGCCTTCCTGCCTGACCAACAACATCGACAGCCTGACCTACACGAACAGTTACAAGCGAAGGTTTCAAGTCTTCATCGAAAGTCATCAATAGACGAGGTTGAATTGCAGGTGTAATATAAAAAATCAGGTAATCGTGTCTACTCATAAATGTCATCCTCATATCCAGACAAGATGTTAACAGTATGAGAAGGCCAGCTAATCCAACTGGACGGCACAGGAATCTATCAGAATGCCAAGGACTCAGTGTGAGGGTACCTTTTCCAAGATGCGTTAAGCCTTGAGCGAGTCGAACTAAAAACAAATTGTATGGATCGCGGCTATGATAAACAGCAAGCTGACGTAACATAGCAGCTAAACGTGCATTATTTGTTCCTGAAAAGAAGAAATGGTAACAAATTTTTTTAAGTAGATGACAAATAAGGTTCACACTGTAACTAAGATTACAGGTGTCCATAAATAACTAAGGTTATAACAAACGAAAATACTGTGGAGATTATTTATCAAGTTAGTTTTAGTGCTAATACGAGAAAAAGAACTACCATGGGTCTTAGCAATCCATATTTGTAACGCGTGAACGGCTTGGTTAAAAGAAAGTCGATAAGCTTAAAAACGTTATTTGTCCTAATAACTCTGAGATATGCAGTCAAAATGACCAATTAGCACTTAAACTTCTTTTTAAGTTATCTAAGAGAAACAAATTCATCGTATTTGATGTGGCTGATACATCATAGTTGGTATATCACAGAGACCTTTACCGATAGATAGAATAAGCCTCAAACAAGAAAGCTTGAGTTACATATGAGTTACCTATGTTACCATAACAAATCAGTACAGCGAGATAACAATAACATGAGTATAAGGAGTCGAAGTGACAATAGTATAAATGATAGTGAGAATGAATAAAAATAGGATAGTATGGTTTGTAAAAAAGGGTTGAATTCAAGCAGTATCTAAAACATGTATAGATTTATTGTCCCGCACAGTTACCGTTAGCTTATTGAGAGATTATGTCAACACTTGGAGGTTAACTGATTTTCACCCTCAGTCACTCAAACTGGTTAACAGTTCAAAAATATTTGGAGTCCTGAAGGTTCTACGGTACAACTTCCTTGACAATGTGACCACTGAGTGATGACAAATTGAGGTATATGAGGAAGAATCAAAGAGTAGATAGATAGATAAATCAGCATAAAAACTGAACTGTATGTCTTCCATTAGAATTATTAAGGTATATGATACTACATATACTAAAACACTGAACTTTTATACCAAAAATACATAATGAACGTACCTGCACCGACAATACCCATTGCAATTATAGAATTGTGTGATAACTCTGCATCCGAATCATGACTAAACTTGCTTAAAGTATCCAATACTTTTAGTTGAGGATTCGATACGTAGCACAATGCAAGAGCTAGTGGGACAGCTCTTTTAATTGGTAGCTCCCCGAATCTTAACTGTAAATTGATTATTAAAACAAATCACTTTCTGTCATCGAAAAATGTCTATAATATTTATAACTACAACCGACTTCATTAATTTACATACACTGATCAAAATTGACATTTTTTTATAGGACAGGAAGTTTTTCTAAAAACCTACATTAGGTTAACAAAATATTAATCATAAATAATAACTTTATACTTGCTGTATTACATGGTTAATCTGATTTATATGCGAATTGTCAGATGTGTAAATTTACCTAACTATAAGAATTACAATGTTAGACATAACTGGACTCGAAGGAGAAGATCCAACGCCTATCCTGAAAGTCAGTTGATGATACAAGTAGAAATCACTGAGTTTATCAGAGTGGTGACTATACTGCGTAATTAAATTTGACATACCTAACTCTTCTAAACACACATTAGCTTCAGCCGAGTTTCGTTTGTTGTTTACCACAACTTAATGAGACATTATTATTACTACTTATTTTACTCATAAATTGTGTTTAATATTTGAAATCGATACTATTTAGTATGATTATATTTATTGCGAAATGCGAATTACATTTTCACAAACAGGAGGATACAAGTAATCTTGTATCAGTCAGTCAGTCAGCTACAACGTAGGACCAGGCACATATACGCATCAGTTCAAGTTGGCAGTCAGACTGACTGCCATACCTCATTAGCACAACAATATGAACACCGAATACATAGAAGTTGTTCATTTAGTGGCGGTAATATATAAAAGAATGATCTTATATAGGGATATAGTAAGGAAAGAAAGATACATATGCAGCAATTCTAGTCTTATAGTTTAAGGGAAGACTGAGAGTTTATACACCTGCACCATTGTGATCCATTCTGAGCCATGTCACACAGTCTCCAACCATTGGTTACGATAGTCACGTGGACCCTAACCGACTAGTCTGCATCTACCAACACGGCTCAGACTAGAAGTTAGTGACTTCAAGTACTGATGCCACGTTTTGGTTTGACCACCCCTAACTTTCTTCTAACCATCACCAATACTAGTCAGTATAGCACGTCGAGGTAATCGGTATTCAGGCAAACGTAACACGTGGCCAAACCATCTCAGTTGGTGAAGATCCATGACCTCATCAACTGATTTACCATTATTCCCTAGTACCCTGAGTCTAACTTCACTAGTACTCGCCCGGTGATCCCAGCAGATGCGAGCAGCAACGGTCGGGGTAATCTTGTATGTATAAGAACTTTTCGAATTATCTGCTAGACTAGCAACTGATTTTGAAATTCAGTTGTTATTTGGTTAGAAGCAACAAGATTAGCGTACCAAGCGTCAAAAAACTTTTAAACAATCACTGCATAGAACTAGGACGGATAAAGCAGAAATAAATATTTACACATGGCATGATATAAACTTAGATACTTAATATATTTAAGTGGCACAAAAGAACATACAAGATGGCCAAACATTCGAAAGGCCATATCTAGGCCAATTTCTTCACCCATAGCAATTATAGCAACTCCTAAAACAGCTAGACCCTGATGAGCATGAAAATCAAATGTACTGTCTTCTTGTGGTGTGGACTCTTCTGCATTAGACGTATCCATAGGTATGGGTTGGGGAACACCTGTCTCTTCTGAGGTAATGGTGTCTTCATTTGATTGACTAGTAGTGTCCATAGCTGTAGGAGCATCTGTATTATGTCTGTTACCATGGTCATTAGTAGTAGCAGGTCTAGTTGATCCACCACGACGATTTCTTCCACGACCCCCTCCACGACGAGCTTCACTTGACTTTTCCTTTTTCTCTTTTGTTTTTGTATTGGAAGAAGCCTTATCAGTATTTTCTTTTTCTTCATACTTTTCAGAGAGGATATGCAGTAAATTTTGAATTTTCAGTACATTCCCACTGCCTTCACAAAATAAATGAGCATAAAAATCATGTTAATAAACAATGTAGTTAGACAATGTGAGAAAGCTACATAATAAGTCATATTTGGTTAATCTACCAGATTATACTGCTGGTAGGCCATGGAACGAAAATCTATGTTAATTTATTCAAAAATAACAAAATTTGTACGGTTTTACATGGATATTAGTACAGTCTTCACCTACAAACATACGTAAAACATATTGACTTGATAAGTAAGACTGTAGATAATACGCTGAAGCGATGTATTCAGTAAATGATTAAAGTGAAGTATCCATATTATCAATCCAAAACGAATCACATTGCCATAAAATAAAATGAAAAAGCTCTCATAATTTCTTGTTTTTCTTCCAGTGACTGTTTGATATACGTAAGTGATAGGAAATCTGTTTGGATCCTAATAATAAAAGATATTTCGCTTACAACGTGTTATGAAGTCTATTTACACTGTAAGATAAATAATCTACTTTAATATGACTACAATTACAAATGTCCTGCTTCGGTTTGGGCACCTGGGCAGTATCCCAGCTATCACACAAATCGACTGATTTATGTGGCGCATATCTATTTGTTGCCTTCTTGTACCAATGTTTATGCGTTTAAATAAATAAAAATAAATTGAAAATGTGGACGAAAAATAGCCAAAATAATCCTTGACAAACAAGTATACACATTTACCGGCATAAGCACAAAAGTCACAGATCATGTGAGCCATTGATTTCATAGGTTCAGATACGGCCTCTAAAGAAGCAAGGATGACTTCAACTTCCTCCTGTCGGCCTAAACACGTTAGACCTAAACCAAGTGCCATAAATTTGCTGAAAACATTGCTCCAATGACTTGCGGGTCTTTCCAATAAACTTTGAATGATAGTGGACGTGACGGTCCCATCAAGTGAACCAACTGAGATAAGACCTGCAGAAAGTGCTGCCAAACAAGCATGTTGAAGCTTCGCTGTATTAGTATCCAGGATAACAGGTGTGAGAGTGCTTATAGCCTCTGCTTTCATTGAACCAGCGTAAGCTACACCGAGACCAATGATCGCCGCACGAGAAAGGACGTCTTTGTCAGAATCCACATAAGATCCGAGGAGAGCTAATGCAGGATCACATTCATTTTTAACACCACAATTGACAACTCCACAACCTAAAAGCCCACCAGCACGAGTATGATCCTCCACAGAATAAAGATACTTATCAAGTTGCGACAACCCCGTGTCAACATCCCATAAAAGTACCCAACCAAGCGTAGCCACAGTACTCATTTTACCTAATATAAATGTAATAATATACAAAAAATGGTTAGTGAAAGTTGGAAAAATCAAATATCGATCTTAAATATTTTAGAAATATAGTTCAAACAAAAAGGTAGTTGTCACAACTCGTAATCATCGGGATGATGACTAATTAAACATAAATAAGCAGCATATGGATCTGCTTTTACACTATCTAACCTGATAGACTACACAATTAAAAATAGGACAAATATGATCCATGTAAAACAAGTAAATATATGCTAATCAAACTCCCTGATCACACAATACAAATGAATCAAAAGGTTCTAATTGAATCGAAAAAATATGAGGACTTACAAAGAATATGGAAACTAGGTTAATAAGTAACAAAGCGAACAGTGGACACTAACCATAGTAAAAATATGTGGGACTAAAAAATATGGAATCAAGACATACCGAATTCTTTCTGTTTGCATAACCATGGGACTTCTTTAGGTGTCTCTTGTATTAGCTTCTCCTTTCCGAAACCACAATTTACAAGTCCATTCACATATGACGCAGCTAAATTTGCTCGTGCTGAGTCTAAAGTGGCCGCATTTAAAGTTGGTCTCACTGCCTCCAAATGAGATTTGTAAATATCCTCTGGTAACTGATACCAATGAAAAAATACCATATAAGCTTGGAGATAAGTGGACTAATGCGATTACATTGTGATTGGTAGTAATTATACTTCTTAACTTTACAACAGTTTTTCAAACATAATATGCACTTCACATTGTCGTCACAGAATTAAAAATGTCCAAGTACTTGGAAAAACAACTTTTAAGTAAAATTTAATTTTTGTGCTTGTTCACTATGCATCTCGGTTTTCCAAAACCATACAGTAACGACAGTCATTTTTGCTTGTGTTCTTACAACACGATGAAAGCTACCTGATTTGTCTATTATAAGACCAGTGTGAGTTTATTTTAGTTTTCAGACTATTGAGTCATCTTTACATTCCTGATAAATTTATTCTATTCATAAGAATTTTTGACCTTGAACACATTTAATTTTTGATTCGTATCCGTGTCAATTCTATACTTATCTGCCCTATGCGTGCTTGTGTGTCTGTAGACTTATCACATTCAATGTATCTTCTTACAGTGTTAATCGTTCTTCAGAGTTATATTAACGCTCAGAATGAGTAACATTTTGGGTAGACATGTTCTAGTTTTTTCCGATTTGACCAACGTTATTCCGTTATTTACTAACGCGAATAAGTTCATGGATATCTAGGAATTTGGCTAATAAAATTTATTTCATTCTTGCTCGTCGATACAAATTAAAGTCAACAATGTCATTAAGTTTATAATGGCCTCAAATATTATGATGGCTTTTCCGATTCTAAACAAACAAGTGCTTGGTCTCTTCTTGAATAATTACTAAATGAGATTCACTCTCAAACACGTAAACATACTTTACGTCAGAAACTGAAAAATGATAGATTTAATGGTCGTTTACTCACAGATCCGTGAAAACCCCTAATGTTCCCAATACAGATATTTCACTAATCAGGCATAATTAACTTAAAGCATGAAACAAATGAGTCAGCATAAATACGAGCTATCTATGAGTAACAACTATCTGAGCGAGACCTTAATATTTCACATCGATTCAATTTCAGATGCTTTTGAGTATTTACTTTGGAATAGAAAATGAATATTTGGACGAAATTGACTTATTAGCTTACAAGCTGATCTACTTACTTTACCTAAGCTTTTCGGTTACTAACTGCCATATGGTTTATCCTGGGTCATTTTCTTGAGGGAAATGAGCAGATACTGTGACCCGAAACTTTAAACATCATCAAAGTAATATGGGAGGATCAATTAATGGTCAAGATTTTACGAATAATAAACTAAAAATGCACTGTCTTATTAGTCATCTGATATTCGGTAGTCTCAACAAAAGATTGCTTATAACCTTTTCTTGGTCGCTTAAGTAGTTACTGGAAATAAATGATTGTTGCTTAGCGGTAGTGAAAAGTGATATTTGTTTTAATCCGATCAACCTGTACTATAACACCAGTAACACTTGCATTCAACTACCAGACGACTATCGTCACTTTAATCTATTACAAACAGGAATGTTATAAACTACCCTAGCACATTTAGACAGTTACCATCTTCTTATTAATTACATATTACTCGAAATATTATTGGCCGAATCGATGAGGTTAAAGATCCCATGCAACACTCAATGGATCTTAATTCGGATTTATGTGAGTTTGCACACTATTTGTGGCTAGACTTTTAAAATGTAGTGCACAATAATATTGCACTTCTTAAATTAAATTAGTATTCTTACTGCACTGTTTACAATCATGAAAGATAGTAAATTAAAAAATGCATGTTTTGGAACGGTTCAAACGCAGTGAACTAAAAACGAATAGTGTATAAAATAGAATGTAACCATGTTTTGGACTAAATGATTAAGTGGTTGACCGCAAACAGTCCTTAATAGCAGTGAGACTTTTTTGGGATGATGAAAATTATTATCAAGTTTAGAAAATACTCAGTACCAAAGACAACTGTAATGGATAAACTAATAGCGTATTATCAGTAGTACGATTATTGTTATACATATATGGATGATATTCACCTTTGGATCCATAATGTCTAGTTCCCGGCCGAGTGACAAGAAGTGTTCTGATAACCTGGTATTCCAGAGCATTTCTGTCAAGTCCTCGTCTGCTAAACATTCCTCATCTGGAAATACAATGTTCTGTCGACCAAGGAGATAGGCAAGTTGACGTTGGATAGCTGGTCCATAATTACGAGAACCTTTTTTAACTTTTCCAGATTCTAAGAATATTTCGCGGATCAAATCCATGTCATTTAGACGTAAAGCACAACGCATAGCGTTGCCCAAATCTTCAAATTTACGGTACAAAATAGTTGCGTACTGAAGTACCTGAGATAAGCAAAATTAAAGGACACAATTTAGGATCAGGTCAATATTTTACAAACCAATATAAAGTGTTTAACAAAGCACAAAAGTCCTAATCTACTTATGAAAAGTGTTATAACTCGTGTGCCTGTCTGCGTACCCAGTTAATATGTGACGTGATGATTACCGCCAATTAGAGAGCAGCGATTTATTGATCCAACCTGTGACACGAAATCCATACGAGCAGTCTAGAGTACGTATCGGTTCTGCTTCCTGCCTAGCCCAGTCAGTTAAGTCCAGAACACCAATAATAGCCTCTGAAATATGAATCATTGTTTCAAACATACTGGGTTTATATACCAAGCAAACTGAACACATCGTACCATAAAATATAAAATAACATTTGTACAAGATTTGGCCAAATGTGGCTGTGAATAGGGGGAACATTAATTAATAGACTGGGTATAACTCAAGAATGGTAAATCGTATAGTAGACTATGGGTCAAAATAAAGCTTATAATAGGAGGAATACGAATATGAATAGTTTAGTTAGTTAACTAACAATAAAAATATACATAGTATTGGTCCATAAACGGATCTGAAAGTTATCGTTCACTATACTTATCGGGACATAACAAATAGTAACTACCCGAGTAATCAAGAATGCTTAAGCCTAATAAAAGTGCTTCATGATGAAAACCCATCGATATACATCTAGCAAACCGATGGACGCAAATCTTTTATATACGTATAATGGTCAACTTAAATTGTCAGTATGCTTGGAAAGTGTTGCTAGAAATTGAATATTTACCAAACAGTGAAGTATTAGGAATTACTCTTGTACATATGAAGGGGGGAATGACAAAGCCACAACACTTGAACCTAAAATATCCCACTTATTAAACATATGGAAGCGTATTTACCATCAGATACAGGTACACCCTGATGACAAGTCCTAAACTACACGAAACCTAGGTTCAAGGTTCGCCCCAATTACCACCTTACAGCCCAATATAATGCACATGATGTTGAAGTGCCTAGACCAGTAGCCACATTGCAACTTAATCTAAAGAATTTGATTTGAACAAAGGATGACATTGGTCCCTAACAAATGATTAGTCAGTTGTAGATTATTTACCAGTCGATAAAAATATGGCAGTTATCCATAATGATGTCCAAAACAGCCCCAACTAAATATTCATAAGGATCCAAATATTTGAAGATACTCAAGTGTCAGAGGATCAAGTTTTAAAAGTGGGCATGAAACTTAAGACACCACATTTACACTCTTCGTTTGAGTCAAGAACTGTATGGACAGGAATAGTAAATGAGATGACATGCTAATATGGAGTCAATAAACAGCATTCACTCTGCATGACTAAGTTACATAACTAATGACCAGGGATATCGTCAATAGAGTTCATAATTTCATTCATTTGTTTGTGTGACGGTTGCGCGTGTTAACATGAATAATCACAACCTATAAAAAAATATCGAAACTAGTTGTTTATGCATCAACTGCGAACAGCTAACTTTAGTAACGGAATACTTGTGCATACTAACAACCATCCAGAAACCCTACCCATACAAGAAAATTGATTGATAACAAACGTATATAAATATGAATGTCAACATGTGTGATGAATAAACTGGCAAATTAAAAGATACGTCTAGAAAAATGTTTTACATAAAAATCCAGTTAACAGGAGCATAGCATCAGCAGATTTCAAAGAGCGACTTGTGTTATATGCATAGAATTTGTTACCTTACCTTATTGTTATCTGGTGTAGGTAAGTACGCTACACAGCTCGTCAGATACAGACATACTCGAGTATAGTTTAAACTTGATGTATATATTTCTAAAAGATGATGTTGTTCAATTTCGATACAAAGGTCTATTGCCTCAGCCTCTGCATTGTGCTCCATCAGGTAGGGAATTATTTGGTGAACAAGAGAGAGGCAGTCTTCTCTATGCTTTTTCATTTCCTTTGTAGCTTAAAACGATTTATTCAAAAATAATGAAAATACCTTCGGGATTATCCATTAGTGAATCATACTCTTTTTCTTGCCAAGTACCGACGATTTGATTTGTTAAATGACGAACATACTCATGACCCCAAGCTCCGATGTCACCCTGGCAACCAAGATGTCTGTAAGTCAGTGTATCGTAACGCGTTTCAGGTTGGTCAGATACAGTCATGCCTAGAACTGATACGACATCAGCGCAAAGTTTCTGCAAATAATTATTCAAAAGACAAAACTCACTTTCGTGTCTGGATTACATATAGTGTTGTAAAAAGACTTAATTTTGGCATAATGATGCATCAGGAATTTGAGGGGCTTGGGAACGGAAGTCATGGACGTTGTAGAGGACTTTATCAATGTACACATGGACTCTAGAGCTGGCTTATGTAGTTCCTGGTTCGGCTCCTCTAGTCTGTCCACGAGCATATTTAGCTCATCCTGAAGCTGTCTGTCTTCCTCAGACTAAAAATAATGTTAGTTGGGACACAAATACTACCAGATCATCCTTAGAAGTCTCCCCTTTTTTTGGACCAGACTGTTCCTCAACAGCTTTGATTGATGAGTCTGTTCCCATTGTGACAACGGGAAATTGGTGAGTAATTGAGTAGCTTTAAATATAGCGCATCCCACACCAGATCACCAATGCTCAATAACTTGTATCTAATTTCTGTACTATTTAGAGGATAAGGAGATTTAATATGGTCTGTTTAATGTTCATAGATTCTCGTTTTAACGTTGCTTAAATCGCTTGGAAAACCATGATACGGCGTATCATAATTTTTTTGTATAACATTCTGAGACACAAACGTCACATGTCAGTCTCAGTTTGGAAAGGACGGGAGGTTTGATGGCTTGCGTTAGTCCTGGCGATGATGGTCTCTCAATTGATCCAAATTTCTTTTGAAAGAGTCAACGGATGAAGCCTCAACCATGTACTGAGAGAATGAATTCCACTCGTTGATGATTCAATGGGAAAATCGATAGTCAGCTGACAAGTAATTTGTTCTGGGCTTGTGAACTTTTTTGGACTGTCCTCGTAGAACTTCTATTTTGGAACACAAGAAAAATGATGGTATATCAGGTGCAAATTTATCGCTAAGCAATTTGAAAACTGTAATCAAGTCGCCTCAGGTTCTTCGATATGACTGCGGAATTAGGTTTAGCTTGGTCAGTCTATCGTCCTACGGGAGCTTCGCTATTCCAGGAATCAGCTTAGTTGTTGTTCTCTGAACCCTTTACAAAAGCTCACTGTCTTCTTTTAAGCAGAGGCTAACCGCTTGTATACAGTACTCAAGTTTAGGACGCACGAACACTGTATACAAAGTCAAAAAATTATTACCATCGATATGACTAGAAGCCCTACAAATTTATAGAACCTTTGGTGGCTACTTAACGTCAGTTTGCAGTAGTCTTTAAGTCTTGGCTACTGATGACTCCTAAGTCATTGTGTCTGGACGATAGGTGGCCCAGTGTTATTCATCGTGTATGTATCTGTGCCTTGATGACCGATATGCATCACAATACATTTGGAAGTATTTATCAGCAACTGCTAGGTTTGGAACCATTCAGGTAACTTCTCCAGGTCGTTTAGAATTTCTAAGCTATCACCCCTTCTTTGTATAGCTCTCCATATCTTGACATCGTCAGCATATAGCAAGACTGATGATGATAGTAGACGAGGGAGGTGATTTACGTACAAGAGCAATAACACTGGCCCCAAAACTGTACTCTGGGGGATTCCATTAAGCACAGTTTCCCGGCTAGACAACTTGAAGTTCTCCCGTAATCTTTGTTGGCGCCCAACTAGGAAGTCTCTTATCCACATCAATAGATTACCTCCAATCCCGACATTTCTTAGCTTATGTAACAGCCGGTTGTGCGGAACTTTGTCAAAATCTTTGCTGAAATCGATATAGGCTACGTCCACAGGTAACTTTTGGCCCTTAAGAGCTCACCAGCTTTCACGAGCCACTAATAAGTTAGTGAGGCAAGAATAACCTGTTCTAAAACCATGCTGCTTCTCCTAAAGGATCTGGTTTTTATCAAAGCACTTAAACAGCTCCTTTTAAATAATCTTTTCTAAGATTTTAACAACCACACTTGTTAGGCTAATGGATGGGTAATTCTCGGGCTTACGTTTTTTACCTGTTTTGAAGACAGGACTTACTATGGCGTTCTTCTAGTCTCTCGGTGAACGACCCTGGATTACGGATAGATTAAAACATATACGAAAGGGGTTCACAACAAAGTTAGCTAATTCCTCTGGTAGCCAATGATGCAGTTAATTGGGTTCAGTGGATTTGCCTATGTCAAGCTTATTTAGCAGACCAACGACATCGAGTTCTTTAATGGTCACGCTGTCCAGTGTTTGTGTCAGGGGATTTTCATGGACTGGTAGCATGGGTGTTTCCATGGTATATACATTATTAAAATAGTTTGAGAATACATGAGCTTTGCCAAAGTCGTCCTCCACTAATGATGAGGCAGCACTGTCTCCCCATAGTGCAGGAATAGTTCCTCTTCTTTTTGTCGTTTGGTTTATACAGAGATACAAGCGTTTAGGGTGTTCCATGGATTCCTTTACAATTTTCTCTTCGTAAAGCTTTCCAGACAACGGAGGGTCGAGGCACAGGTATTCTGAGCTTTTTGATACTGAGGTTTTGCCTCATCAGACCCCAGTAACCTAAATCTATCCAAGATTTTCCTTCTCTTGCGGAGAAGGATTCGAACGTCTCTACTAAATCATGGTGGGGAGTTTCTCGGCCCCCTAGGTGTAGTTCAAGGGATGTGAGCGGCGGCAACTTTAAGTATAAATTTCGAAATACGTCCCAAGCCGTTTCGATTGAGGATTCTAGGTTTATCGTCCAATCTACTTACTATGTTAAGTGCATGATATATTGTATGTTTGCTTTCCAGACGTTAGGCCTGGACTGAGTTGACGTGTGCTCGTGATTGACAGTTATGTGGAAATCAAAGGTTAAAACTGCATGATCACTTTTACCTGGGAGTGGGCCGTAATCCAGGTTCGCAATGTCATCATCATAGTGAGTCAATATAAGATCTAGTAAGGATGATTGAGAGCTCGGGTCGTACCTAGTCGCTTCTTTTACATGTTGCACCAGGATACGTGATAACTGCATCAACCAGTTCCTGCTCGAAGGAATTATCTGACGATTCAGTTCGCAGATTTCCCCAGTCTACCATGGGTGCATTAAAGTCCCATAGGATTAGATATCGACCACTTTGTGACCAAGAGTTGAGACTGCCTAGCAGGACTTCATTTACCTCACAGCTTGGACTGTCGCAGATCAAACTAATCAGCAGCTCTTATCCCTTGCATTTCAAGCGGCAACTAACTAACTCACACGTCTCACTCTCATGCGATACACTGTCGAAAGTGGCAAACGGGATAGCATTTCTAATGAACAGAGCTACTTCCCTACCTTTATGCTTTTGTATTCTTTCTGCCCTTACTAATGTAAGACCCTCGAAATCAAGTTCCCTACTATCCATAGACGGCGTCAGCCATGTTTCTGTGACTGCGATTATGTCTGGCCTAGTTGAGTCAATTTGTACACCTAGTTCTGGTAGCTTATTTAGTAAGCTCCGGGCGTTGGTATAACAGATCCGAAGCCTATTTAAATGGCTTCGTGCTACACCTAGAGTGGCTTCGGCATCATTCTCTGTCGAAGCCTCACAACCCGAAAATTTACAATTTTCAGGTCTTTTTCGCCAGCGTCTAATCTGAGCTGTAGTTCTTTTTCGGCTTCCCATCTTTTTACACGGTCCGTCAGCGGTAAGTCCTTATGGAGAAAAACTCGTGAACCCTTTCATTTATATCCATTTTGTAAAATTGGGTCGCGTACATTTGGGGATTTTAGTACTACATTAAGCAGTCTGGATTAATTATGCTTCAAATTCGCCAGGCTACCTAGTCTATACATATTTGGCAAGCTGACTCCGGAGATAGATTGAAGCATAACTTGATTGAGTAGCTGTTTTATCAACACAATGTCATGCTCAAAACGAGCTTTCTTTTCAGAGCTTTCACTCTCCTTGATTCTATGAAATATAAATGATCTGTCGCTGTGATCAATCTTTGATTTCTCGACTCCTTTGATGGGGGGGCAGGATTCCCTTTTGTTGTGAATAGTTTCTAGTGGTTTAGCCTGGGTCACGAAAACAACGTCCCATTTTCAAGCATGTATTTCTTGAAGCACTTTATTATCCTTTTTTATGAATAGGTTGTCTGAAGAGATCAGTGAAGTAGAAGATTATCAGGAAATCTACGGCTTTGAAGACATTAGAAATCATAATTCGTCCTTTTTAATTTCAACATACGTATTTAGCCAGGTGGAGTTGAATCAGCTAATTGTATTTACCCATTTGATGGGCTACTTCAGTAGTTTCATCCCTACCTATCTCTGCCTAATTTCAAATATAATGTTTAAAACTAATCGTTCTTCTTCATTCTTGTTAGTTTTCTGATAACATTACCCGAGTTTTACCTTAAAAAATATTTTTCTATTCTTTTATGTTTCCGCTACTTTCAGTAGTGAGCTCATAGCTTAGTGAACTGGTGACAACTGTCCTCCATGCATAACTCTTCAGTGTAGTCCGTAGTGTAGATTCAGTTTGGTGTTGACGATGATCTCAGCTACTCACTCTCTAGTGTCGTAGAAGGTCTACAATGTTCTCCTATCAACATTGTCAGAAGCTTACTCATAGTCAAGGACGTTGAAGTATAATGATGAGTTCCATTCAAATAAGAGATTATTAATGACTTGTAGTGTCTGAACGTGGTCTGTGTATGACTGATCCTTACGGAATCCGATCTGTTGATCTCGAAGTTGGGCATCTATTTATTGTTTCGTTCGTTTCAACAACACTCCATTGAAGACTTTTTCTGGTACTGACAGTATTGTGATGCCTGTGTAGTGCTCACATTTGCTGAGATCTTCTTTCTCTGGTATCTTGATGAGGTATGCTTCTTTCGAGACTGTCTATAGCACTTGTTATTCTTCTTAACTCTTCCTGGACAAAACATGGAGCATGGTTGCAGTTGTCTCTGTCTGACTACAGTGGTTCACGTGATTTGTTGTGAGGTCATGCTGCTTTCTCACTATCGATTTGTCTGATTGCCATAACGATTTCTTCAATCGTCAGTGGAGCGACATTATAGGAAGGTCCGCGTGAGTTTAAAGAGTTATGATCTGGCTCGATGGTAGTATAAGTTCAATGGGGCAAGTCTATTCTGTACCCACCAGTTTCGCTGTTCGTGAATCTCAGTGACCAGATACCCTGGTTCTAAGACAGGTTGAGACTCTTATCATTTTTCACTTTGGATCTCACATTATAGAAATTCCTAAATTACGTTCTTTTACTCCAAGAAGGATGTTGTTCTTTTTGAATGTTTTAGAAGAAGAGCAAGTGAATAGGTACTCAGAATAAAACATAGACCTCACAGAACTCACCTGGAAGCTCTTAACGCGCAACTTGCACAATACAGAAGTGAAGCAGAGGATATTACCTCGATTTATCATACCGCTTATAATGCCGTTCACTTGTTCATCCCAGTACTGAAGATATCACGGGTATTTCTAGTTTGACAACACTTCAACCAGTAACACCTTTCATAAATGAATCACGCTCACCCAGTGAAATCAAAAGTCAGAAGCGAGGGCGTTCGAAGATATATTTGAAAGGCTATCAATATATCGAGAAACGACTGATTCAACTGGCAACGGTTGCAAGAGAAGTTGTGCACAGCGTTCCTATTGGTGACCTGGTGCGAATACATGACCGAGTGCCTCCAGCTAGATGAGTCCATTAAAACTAATGTGGACAGCATCCAATGTCTTAGACTTACGGAGCGATTAATTTTGAGGATTTACTTACCGCTACAGTGCTTAAGTGAACATAACTGGATACCTTTGTGTGGCAGACGAATAAGCATGCATGAAAATTCGTTCAAACTTTTTCTTGGTGAGAATCACCTGACCGTAAAACTTTTAAATAGAGGCCATATTGATGTCATCCCCTAGAAAACTCGAGGCTAACTTCAGTTCCATATGCATAAATAGTGACTACATCAGATGCTAGTCCATGATTACATCTTCTACCAATCACGCTTGGGAAGGAGCATATCGAGAGAGATTATTCCCCATTGTCGAGGAAATTCTTTTACAACTAAGTCATAGAACCTAAGTAACAAGCAACACGCTAATTTTCCCTACCGAAGTTTGGGTTTTAAGTACTAAGCGCGCCTTTTATGAACTGGTAGAACGCTGAAGGTAAACCAAAAAGCAACAGCTTGAGTCGCTTCATTACACAGCCTCTGATTTATCTATGTTTTATACAGAAGTGTGTAAGCTCAAGATTATCTGGTTTTAATAAGGTGACTCACTGTTCTGAGAGTCCAGTTTTCTGGGGTCGTTTGTTAGCCAAACGTGTTAAATCTATAAAATCGAGGATCACTTAACAAAATCAGTGGACTTGAGAGTGATATTTGTCAGATGTAAGAGAAACCTATCTTTAGGTTCTATTACACTGCAACTTAAATGTTGCTCTACTGATTTCCGTTAAGTGATCCTAAATGTAGTTATTAGATTGTTTATAAATGTTAAAGATTATGTGACACAGTATTTTTATTACGCAAAATTTGGTATGGATTGTGATTTGTACTACAAAATCGGGAGTCATTCGGTTTTGAAATACAAACCGATTTGGATGGGATCCAAACAATATCTTTTACGCTGACCAGCGCACCTACTACTATTTCCACAACTAATGTATTTGCTAATTATTATTGTAGTCACACTAGTTTTAACAGTACATTTGGATAATGTTATTGAGCATAAGGTAGTTGCTGGAAATTGTGTGACTTGTCCCATATAATTAGTTCAATATTTAACAACCATAGTACTTCTTGAGAAGAATTCGCGTTTCTTGTTAGTGTCTTCCATGCACAAGGTGTCCAACTAACAATGTTTGAGACTGAGTTATGGAAATAGATGCTAGTAAACTTCATTCTCCCAGTTTTGTGACTTTCTTGAGATTTACAACCGGGCCTTCAATAATTTTAACCTGTATAATCTGTTAAGCATGTTATTTATTTATTATTTATTTGAACACATAAATATTGGTACAAAGGGGCACCAGATAAATATGCGCCACACAAATCTCATTTGATTTGTGTTAGGGCTGTGATACTGCCCGGGTGCCCAAACTGAAGCAGGTGGTTTTCTTAGGGGGCACAACCCGAGCCTTTGACTTAAATGTTCGGTCCACAAGGCAGTGGAGCATCGTAAAGAGATGCATCCCCATGGTAGCCGTTGACAACGTTTGGTTCGCACGCCATTTATTACTTCAGGACACTGGGGCCCATGTGCACCATTGGTTTGGAATCAAGGTTTTCCAACTCCCCTAGGTGGACGTGCCGTTTCGACCAACCCGGTTAAAGCGCTGGACATTCGCTTTTAATCCTTTCAATTTCGTAAACAACACTACCGCCACGAGAAGACAGTGAGTAGGACTTCCCTGACAGAGGCTATATACGCGTGGCCATGTGAGAGCATTTCGAGAGGGGGAACGAACTTTTCTCACTCTCAGCCGTACCAGGGCATTTGGGGGCTGTTAGGTATGTACCCAGTGCTAATAATCTCTTGACCAATTAGGAGGATCAGTTTGTTTGTTGTAAGTACTCATTATTGATTAGACCATCAGCTCTGAATTATCATAAATCTATTTAGGTAAAAATACGAGTTATTGCTTGTGAGTCGCATGATGAATAGGTTAAAAAAGAATCATTTTCAATAAGAACTGGAAAGGCAGACACATGAAGTTAGTGTGTTAATTTTTTACTGATGATAGGTGTGATGTATATATTCTTTGTGGACTATGTTTTTGGTTTCTGCCAGTAGTTTGGGTATCTGGTCGGTGGTGTTTTAGATACAGTTCACAAGAACGAAACGGTGTCAGCCATCAAATCAATTTACGGATGGCTTAAGGAAACAAATAACTTGGGAAGGCCATCAGATGGTTAATAACCTACGGGAATTAATCATACGTTTTGTTTAACTTGAGTATCCAAATGAGCTCAGGGATACTGACATTTTCATGCTCTCGCGTAAAATTCATGAGAATAAATGCACTATTTACCATAGTTATTTTACAAACCGTTCGGACATTACTACAGGCTCTTCAGCCATAGCGTACAACTCGACTGGGACGTGTGTTGATCCAAGTTGCAATGCATCTGTACTGCAAGCACTTGTTGGAAAAGATAGTACCAGAGCACTGGATTTTATATAAAGCAAGCGTTTACTCTGCTCTTAAATTGTTTAGGGCCTTTTATTTAAATATGTCGACTTACTTACTTACTTACTTACGCCTGTTACCCCTCGTCGAGGAGCATAGGCCGCTCACCAGCATTCTCCACCCAACTCTGTCCTGAGCCTTCTTTTCCAGTTCTTTCCAGTTGCTATTCATCCTTTTCATATCTGCTTCTATTTCCCGACGTAGTGTGTTCTTTGGCCTTCCTCTTTTCCGCTTCCCTTCAGGATTCCAAGTTAGGGATTGAGTCGTGATGCACATTGGTGATTTCCTTAATGTATTTCCGATCCACTTCCAACGTCTTTTCCTAATTTCCTCTTGAGCTGGAAGCTGGTTTGTCCTCTCCCATAAAACGCTGTTCCGGCCAATGGATGTTGAGTATTTTGCGTAAACAATACTTGTACTTTCTTGACGATGGGTGTAGTAGTTCTCCACGTTTCAGCTCCATACAGTAAGACTGTCTTGACGTTCGTATTAAAGATTCTGACCTTGAAATTGGTTGAGAGTTGTTTTGAGTTCCATATGTTCTTCAATTGTAGAAATGCTGCCCTTGCTTTGCCAATTCTCGCCTTTACATCTGCATCCGATCCTCCTTGTTTATCAACGAAGCTCCCCAGGTACTTGAATGTTTCCACCTCTTCCAGAGTTTTGCCATCAAGTGTGATTGGGTTGGTGTTCTCCGTGTTGCATTTGAGAATCTTGCTTTTTCCTTTGTGAATGTGGAGGCCTATCGATGCGGAGGCTGCTGCTACATTTGCTGTCTTCATCTGCATTTGGTCGTGTGTATGAGAGAGGAGGGCTAGGTCATCTGCGAAGTCCAAATCATCTAGTTGATTCTGAGAAGTCCATTGTATTCCGTATTTCCCTTCAGATGTCGAGGTCTTCATAATCTAGTGACTCATCAGAAGAAAGAGGATGGGGAGAGTGGACGACTTTGTCTGACTCCAGTCCTCAATTGGAATGCATCTGTCAGCTGTCCTCCATGCACCACTTTGCACTGTAGTCCGTCGTATGAGTTTTGGATAATGTTGACAATCTTTTCAGGAACTCCATAGTGTCGAAGAAGTTTCCATAATGTTCTCCTGTCCACGCTGTCAAACGCCTTCTCATAGTCAATGAAGTTGATGTATAGTGATGAGTTCCACTCAACTGATTGTTCAACGACGATCCGTAGTGTCGCAATCTGGTCTGTGCACGACCTATCCTTACGGAATCCAGCCTGATGATCCCTAAGTTCGGCATTTACTGCGTCTTTCATCCGATTCAGCAGCACTCTGTTGAAAACTTTTCCTGGTATCGATAACAAACTGATGCCTCTGTAGTTTTCACATTTGCTCAAATCTCCTTTCTTTGGTATCTTGATGAGATATCCTTCTTTCCAGTCCATTGGCACTTGTTCCTCTTCCCAAATCTTCTTGAATAGAAGGTGAAGCATGTTTGCAGTTATTTCAATGTCTGACTTCAGTGCTTCTGCTGGTATGTTGTCAGGTCCTGCCGCCTTCCCACTTTTGATTTGTCTGATGGCTATCTTGACTTCTTCGATCGTTGGTGGAGTGACATCTATAGGAAGGTCATTGTGTGCTGCTTCGATGTTCGGTGGGTTCAATGGGCTGGTCTATTCAGCAGTTCCTCGAAGTATTCTGCCCATCTTTTCCTCTGTTCTTGAATCTCAGTGATTGTCTTTCCTTCTTTGTCCTTGACTGGTCTCTCTGGTTTGCTATATCTCCCTGCCAATTTCTTCGTTGTATCATATTCCCTTCTCTTGCAGCTTTTTCCGCCGTCGTTGCTAGTTCTCCCATGTATTTCTGCTTGTCGGTTTTAATGCTTTTCTTCACTTCCCTGTTTGCTTCTGCGTAGTCTGCTTGTGCTTTGACTTTCTCTGCTCGTGTTCGGCTGTTGTTAATTGCTAGTTTCTTGTTCTTCCTTTCTTGAATTTTGTCCAGGGTTCCCATAAAGATCCATTCCTTGTGATGACGCTTCTTAGGACCAAGAACCTCCTGACACGTTGAAGTTAGTGCTTCTTTGATCCCTTTCCAGTTGTCCTCCAAAGTAGTTTTTTGTTCTTTCAGTAGATCCTGTAGAGCTTGGAACCTGTTGTTGAGAGTTATCTTGAATTCGTTGAGTTTGTCAGTATCTTGAATGAAGGCTGTATTGAACCTTTGTAGTGGTGTTTGTCCAGTTGTCCATTGTTTCTTTAGCTTCAGTCTCATCTTGGCCACAACCAGGTAGTGATCTGAAGCTATGTCAGCTCCTCTCCGGGTTCTCACATCTTCCATTGATCTTCGGAATTTTTTGTTGATACAGATGTGATCTATCTGGTTCTCTGTTGTTTTGGTCCAGTGAGATCCATGTAGCTTTGTGTATGCGCTTGTGTGGGAATATTGTGCCGCCTATAACCAATTTGTTGAATGCACATAGGTTTGCAAGTCTCTCCCCATTTTCATTTCTCTCTCCTAGTCCATGTCGTCCAATTACATCTTCATATCCTGTGTTGTCCACTCCAACTTTAGCATTTAGATCTCCCATAAGGATGGTGAGGTCCTTTCGTGAGCACTTCTCTATAATTGATTGCAGCCTTTCATAGAACTGATCTTTATCATCGTCGTTGCTATCACTGGTGGGTGCATAACATTGGATAACGTTCATTGTGATCCCTTGCTTCTTTGTTTTGAATGATGCTTTGATTATCCTGGGTCCATGAGATTCCCATCCCACAAGTGTATTTCGTGCTTCCTTGGACAACATTAGAGCAACTCCCCGAGTGTGTGGAGCATTTTCCCCTTCGTGACCGGAGTACAGCAGCATCTCTCCTGTACTTAGACTTTGTTGTCCAGTTTGTGTCCCATGGGTTTCGCTGATTTCGAGTACTGCCAAGTTGTATCTCCTCATTTCCATTGCTATTTGGCTGGTCTTTCCTGTCTCCCACATTATCCGAACGTTCCATGTACTTATAAAGAGTGTTGCTCTGGTTGTTAGAAGGTGCATTGGTCTCGTGACTTCCGAAGAATTTCGGCTTTCATCATGAGACGTCATAATTATTCCCTCAACTCCCAGGGCAGAGTTGAAATGGTTTGGATTATTTTTTCTGGTTAGCGTTTTTTTTTAGCAAGTTAGCTTTTCTACGGGATGGGGTCGCTAACCCCATGCCCAACCCTCCTCCTTTACCCGGGGTTGGGACCGGCAGTAACTCTAGAAGAGCTACAGGCGGAGTTAAATATGTCGACTAATCATCGCAAATTGCATCACAATTACTCCTATTATGTCATATCTGAAGACAAATCCATTGACAGGAATAGCTACTCAGTTACATAAGGTTATATAAGTTATGGTTAATTTCATTTATAAGTTAGGAGACTGGAAAGCTGATTGACATCTACCCACACTAGCTCACCGTACTTGTCTGAAGCTTATGTATTGTTCACTGTAATCTTTACTGAACAAAGCTTTCAGTACCTGTCATTTTAACTGTTCTACAATCGCGTTTTTGTTTAGCTTTGTTTCAGGTCGCGATCATCCTGTTTTTTGTTCTTGTTAATTTGTTTTTCCTTCAAAAACACCCGTTTGAAAATATTACTTTTTATCTTGGTGATTATTGAAAGAATCAAGAACAAAATAAAGGAGGAAATTATTGTAACGCTAAAAACGGTAGGCAGATCTAGATATTTTTTTGATCGGAAAAGTGTCACTTTGATCCACGAAAACTGTTCAGTCCCTGTCAGTGTAGTTAAAGCCTAACTGTATCTCGTTGGGACATTCATTCATACGACCATTCCAGCCAGCCGATCAGGTTGCACTCTACAGCGCTTCAATCCTGAAGATGGCCAACGAAGACAGTAAGACATTTGTAAATAAAGAATTTCTTACAGGCGTTGTTGAAGGTATGTTGTGCATTTTATTCTATCTATTTTACACTTAGGGTTTTATGGTCGACCTTGGACATATCCTCAAAGAAAAGAACTGTTTCGGAGAATGAATCAAATGGGTATGAATGCTTACCTGTATGCCCCTAAGGATGATATAAAACACAGACAGTCATGGAGGGATTTGTACACTCAAGAAGAAGAGCAGCAACTTCAGTTTTTGATCACTGAGTCCACTGAAGCTGGAGTACTTTTTATTTTTGCTATATCACCGGGCTTAGATGTAACGTTTTCTAGTGCTAAAGAAGTAGATATTTTAAAGAAAAAAGTTGATCAGGTAAGCATATGCACAGTTGGTTTATTCATAAAGGTTGAGTTCCTTCAAAATGTAATCCGAACACAGAATCATGGTTTTTCACTAATTACAGGAAATTTAATCAATCTTGGGGCCTAGATACTAAGGGCGACATAATTAAAACTATTTATTGTAACAGGTAGACTTCGGGAGCGTTGAGGACATTTTTAAGGCCACTGTCTCAGATACTCAGTGTTTCTCTACCCCACCTATTTTCATCTAGGTGGGTGGATGGCTTTTCCAACACCTCAGTAACTGGTTCCAAAGTTCATTGTATCAATCTGTATCTGGGAATTCATTTGCAACATAGATTTTCAAAAATGATGACTGGTCTTTAACTATGTACCTGAACTCTTGATGGAAGTTTGTAAGATGGTTGTGAAGTGTGGTTAGGGTTTTAGATGACACGACAAAATAGGTCACAGTGGCCCAGATATAATCATCCTTTACTTTCCTTTAGTTATTGAGTATAGTAATATTTAACACCTCCTGGATTTCCAGTTTTCATGCGACTGATATTTCTTATGCCCAGTTTTCCACAGCAATTATTATTCCAAATCCCCTTCCTTTCGTTCTGCTAATTCTTCTTTACTGTATCGTGGCTTTTGCTATTTCTTATTCTTACTAGGTCGTTGTATTGCTCGCATCTGCTGGGATCACCGGGTAAGTAATAGTGAGGTTAGACACAGGGTATTAGGGAATGATGGTAAATCAGTTGATAAGGTGACGAATTTTCATCGACTGAGATGGTTGGGCCATGTGTTACGTATGCCTGAACACCGATTACCACGACGCGCAATGCTGACTAGTGTAGGGGATTGTTGGAAGAGAGTTAGGGGCGGCCAAACCAAAACATGGCGTCAGTGCTTGAAGTCACTGACTTCTAGTCTGAGCCATGTTGGCAGATGCAGACTACCTGGTTGGGGTCCACGTGACTATCGTAACCAATGGTTGGAGACTCTGTGTGACATGGCTTAGAATGGATCACAATGGCGTAGGTGTATACACTCTTTATCTTCCCTTAAACCTTGAGATTAAAATTGCTTCATATCTGTCTTTCTTCCTGTACTATATCCTTATATACAACCTATAATTTATATACTACTACCACCACTAAATTAATTACTTCTATGAATCCGGTGTTCATCTTGTTGTGCTAACGAGGTATGGCAACTTGGACCGATGCATATATGTGCGTGGTCCTACGTTGTTGCTGACTGACTGACTAGGTCGTTGACTGTGTTTTAACTGATCGTCAGTAACGTTTTAGGTTTATTTTGATAGCCCGTATATATGCATCATATATAATATCAATGTTTTAGGTTTCAAAACTTGGTTGTCGTGCATTTGCCCTTCTTTTTGATGATATTGAGCCGCGCCTATGTCCCGCAGATCGAGAAGTATTTAACTCATCAGCCCGTGCTCAGGTTATGTTCGCGAACGAAATTTACAATCATTTAGGATGTCCAGATGTCTTTTTATTCTGTCCAACGGAGTACAGTGCAAGTTTGGCAGTACCTAATATTAATAAATCAGAATATTTAGCGACAGTCGCTTCCTGTTTAGCACCAGGTAATATATTTAGAACATGCTCTTTTCTAATATTTCGTTTTATGAATTCATTTTTTATTTACATTTATTATCGTTTCTAGTTTAAGCTCATTTCACCAGAGAGCGTAAGTGAACCTTGGTTGCACTCACAAGACGTCATTGAAATGTTAGGTAATGTCTCTTTCAGTTTTGGTAAGCCTCCCTCATATAAACACTGGATGATTTCCTCAGAATTTTTAAAGCTTTCTGTCCCTTGTCGGTTTATTCTGGGAAATCAGGAGTCAGCCAAGGTAAAGATAAAAATCTTTTAGTTGTAGATTGCTACAAAACTGGAATCAGGCTGATCGCAACAAAACTTCCTATCGGTAAAACAGTTTGTGGTTGGTGGTGTGGCAATTGGTAATCTTCAAAGATGTGCTGAATGACTGGGTAAGGTGCTTCAGCGAACAATTCCATTGATCCATTGTCCCAGAAACTTCGATCAGATTCGTCTAATGTTTCAAATGGATGATTTTATTAGAAACTCAATCACTGACCCGAAATATTCAAATAAAATTATTGTGTTTGACCAAGATGCTGACGAAACCCAGCCTTATAAATGCCTTGAGTAACAGCGTAATAATTTTTAAGATTAATTTTTCTCCTAACTGCGAAATGTTACCCTAGGACTGATTTGTGTCAGTACTTATTTTAATCATGTGAGGTAAAACAGTGGAGTGTGTTGAACATTACCTTATCCTTGAATTCTCAGCACCCTTAATGATTTGTTGATTGACGTGATCTCAGCGCGAAATCAAAGTGCTCGATTGGCTTTTACGCACGTGGATTATATATGGCGTTGGCAAGGTATCCGTTTGTCTATTAAAACTTCCTCTGTATTTTACTTTGTGGTTGTAAGTTTGTTGATTAATTCTTGCTTTTTCTTGAAATTCATTTAAATGCTCACCAAAAGTTTGAATATATGGTTGTATGTGCACTATTTAGTTGAAAAGTTTCATTAAAATTGATAATTCCACTAAATCTTGTTTGTCTTATGATTTTGCTTATTTAAAATTCTGCTGTAAATATATTTGCGTTTGAAAGTACTTTGCTATTCAGTCTCAATATAGCTATACAGTTTTATTTACAAAATTGTTTTCTTCACCTTTTCGATAATTTATTGTAAATGACAGTGAAAGCTAGGTATTATTGTGTGTCTGAATTTCACAACTATTTAGAAAAAGCAACTATGTTTTGACAGTATGTCTTCGATATAAAAATATGGGAAAAATAACATTCTTATATTTGTAGTTAGTAAATTCTCAAAGTTAATGTTTTTTTCTTTTAATTAATGCCTGAAAATTAACTTAAGGTATCGCTGTAATCTGGACCGGTCCGCTTGTAGTGTCTAAACGAATTTTAACTAAGGAGCTGAAGGAATTATCTACTTTATTACAACATCCTATCGTTTTATGGGACAATCTACATGCTAATGATTATGACCAGCGTCGCGTATTTATAGGACCGTACAGTGGTCGACCCCTAGCTTTACGTCGCAAAGGCTTGCTTAGAGGAGTGCTGACCAATCCGAATTGTGAATTTGAAGCAAACTATGTGGCGTTTCATACTCTTGCACAATGGTCTAGGTAAATTGTAACTTGGTTTTTGTGATTTATCTACATTTCCTTGTATTATAACGATGATCTGTATCTCAGTAATTTAAACAGTGAACTCGCATTTACACAGTCACGTATTAAGATCTGGACTGTTGTTACTCAATCAAAAGACCATATTAAAAAAGAATGATATCCATTTTCAAATGTGCTTGTTAATTCTCAATATTAGAGCAACTATTTTCTTAAACTTTGTATTGACTGTAATTCACATAGAATGCACTCCTGACTTGTACTGGAATTGTAATGTAAGAGTTGATTAACTCGACTTTACTTCTGCTGATATACCACTGACATACACATTCTGTTTGTTCTCAATATCCTTAGGCTCGTTTCTATGCAGAAGGCAGCGTTCATAGTGTTTTTAAACGTAAGGAGGAACTGAAGGGTTACATATTACCGATCATATGGCTTTCTTTTAGTCTGTTTTAATTAGGTAATATTGAAATTAAATCCTATTAACTTTTTAATCTAGACAAGCTGGTAGCAAACATATAATACAATCAACTGATACAGAAATGCTATGTACAAGTGAGGATTTTGAATCTAACGCTTCTGATGATAACGAAGTGATTGATGATGGTATCGATGATCAAAAATCAGGTGATATTAATGAACACCCATCTGTCTGTCAGGATGACTGTGTAAATAGGAAACGACAATATGCATCTGTTTACAGACCTCGTGAAGCTCTCCGTATAGCTTTACGAGACTGGCTTGCATTAATGCTTCAGGTTAGTTTATATGCACACTTTCTACTGTATAATTTTTTTGAGTTTTGTCTCAGGTGTAGAGCTAATTTAATCTTTACAATACACCAGACTGTTGTTTAGATCTTAAACACCTACGCAGTGTCACTAAACATTACACATTAGGTGCGGCTTGCAGTCTAAATTCACTAAACTATACGTAGTTATTGTCGCATGTATTCGCTCACAGTTTGTATGTGTATCAGTTAGTGTATCTTATCCTTTGCAACTTGAATACTTTAATTAAAAAGTTATTCTGGTGCTCATTGGAATTTTATTCACTTCATACGCGTACTTCCCACTTTATGAACTTCGTGATCGAAATTAGGTACGCTTACCAATTGCAGACCAGACAGTGACCATTGTTTGAAGGTTCTGACGGCTGGTTTTTGTTAGATCACTTACTTACTCACACTTGTCTCCAAAAGACTACACTATTTTTATCTGTAAACGTGTCTAATTTTTAGAGGGTGAGAATCGACCTGCTACTCTCCATCAATAAAGAATTTTTTCGAGATTAATGAAATGCTTGCCAACTTTTCGCATGATTTGAAGTAGTAGTAATGTGTAGTCGGCTGTTTTTAAATTTAATTAATCGTAAATTCTGGTCCATTTGTTAGTTTTTAGAGACAGAAATTATGACATCAATTTAGGTATCACCTTTAGTGCGTCCTCGCAAGCAGTATTTTGCTTTTAAACTTCTTAATCGTAAAACGATATGGAATTTAACTTTATATATATATATATATATATATATATATATATATATATATATATATATAATCATGAGTTTAATATTACATATGTTTAGAACGTTTCTTGTCATTTGACTGTTGATATTTGTAGTGTTTTTTTATCACCATCTTCAATTACTGAGGTATAACTCTAAATTTTTATTTAAAGGTTGGTGCTTCAAAACCTAGCACGGCTATAGGTACTCCTACACCTATGGATACAGATAATCTTGAAACTGGTCAAAACGAAGCTCCCATGCAGGTAAATTGAACGTTATCTGATACCAATTGGTTATTTTTCTCCTAAAATATTCAAATTCATTATCTTGAAATGTCATGTGGTGTTTTCCTTGTTTTCTTGGTTACATTATCTCGCTTTAATCACATTAACATAAATAAAAGTGTTTCTTTCATATGTGCAGGTTACCGAATTGCTGTCTGTCCCTCTTATCTTTCATAAATCTTACCGTTGTTCATCAACTTACAGGTATCTGAAATCTTTTCTGTTACTCAGAGAAAGTTTGGAACATTAGGTAGACTCCCACGCGGCCGTGTTTTTGGTTTGTGGCTATCAAAACAGTCTCTCGATAAGCACTGAAAAAGTATTCAACAGTTTAGAGATATATCAATGTTTGTTGCTTCTATATTTTCGGCTGGTAATGAGTGAGAGCATCTTGACTGATAGCTAAAATTCTCATATCTTTACAGGAGATAATTATTTACGCTTAGCTGATTCAGTCGATCTAGTTGCTCATTTCTTCTTGTCTGTATTTCCTGTTTGAAATACACTTGTGTGTGTAGATTATGGGTTATGGTGTCATCGCGCTTTGCCTCACAGTACTGGTTATAGCTTATCCCTTAGATTTAGTTAGCACGGCGGTATACGATATAGAAATTCAATTGAGTACTACCTAGTAATTAGGATAGTTTGTGGAGTATCAAAGATAATGTTAGACTTTGATTAATCAACATTAATATACCAATTCCAAATGAGTACAATCATGTCTGTTTATTTTGAACAATAGTCACAGTCTTCTAACTAATTAAATAAAAGATCAGAACTATTGTTAACAACTTTTTCCCTTTCATGGATTGTCATTTTTTGTACTGAGAATATATACGACTTGTCATATAAACGAGAGCTTCTGATTCTTGTTAAAACTATAAACTTTGTCTCATAGTATAATTTGGTTTTGTTGATGTGTACAGTTCAAAGTGACCCAACTTTGGTTCGGTTTGAGCGGGTAGCATAATGTAATGTGGATACTTATTAAAGTTAGCGAAGACCCATATCTCGTATCCTAGAAAGCTGGAATACTCACTTGTTGTTCTGTGTCTGTCAAATTTGCCATCTTATTTCACAGGTATATGCCACTTACCACCAGAAATAGAAAACAGTCTCCATGAATTTATCTTCTCAATGTCAATTTAAGTTTGAATGGTCATGGGAAAACAGTTACAAAAGACGTGCAGTGAACAGACACACAGGTGGGGAGAACCGATGTATTTTAATACAAAATTACACAGTATCTTGGTAAAATATGAGATCCACACATAAAATACTTCATTTGCAGATATTCCATCAATTGTTCTTTACATTCTGTATGATTCTTCCAATTTAAAACGTCTTCCTACTTCTCTGTTTTCTTCAATTCGAACTTCTTAGCTTTCTGTTGCCATGCATTTCACTTCTGGTTGGCGTTATATACTACTTATGTCTGTCAACATAATTAGCATGCACTACACTCGTTCCCCCTTTTAAATGGTCGTTCTTGCGGTTGTTCTACTCGCCGTGCCACTTCTTCACTGAAGTCTGTGCTGCGCTCCCTATCAAAATGTCGAGTCTGCAGCGCGCTGACTTGCGTAGCTCTGTCGACATAAGTGTAGCATACACCACAAACGTACAGTTAGATAAACCAGTTTCCGAATTTTTTAACAATATGCATCTTGAAGGCGACAAATGGCTAATAATATCACATATACTGTTCATATCATTGTGATTGTATTTGTCAAGCTAATCTCATGTGAGTAATTAACTGGGACCATCAGTCGATTTTAACGTGAACTATTTACATTGTATTATCAAGTTAAAGAGTGATACCACTATCAAATAATGTTTTCCAATAAGATGTTTTCAAATCTATACATGTATTCATTACCGTGTAAATTTCACGTAATATCTGCTTTAATTGATACTTATTAGATTGAATCCACTCCTTCCAATGTGGTCGTGATTTCTGATAATAATTCTTCTGAAACCCATATTTCAGGTTAGTCAATCAAATTTGTTGTACAACGTAAATATTTGTTTACAATTAATTTAGGTTCAACATTATAACAGTTCAAATAGTTTTATTAATTGTTAGTTTATTCACTTAACAGTTCTCGAATGTTTATTATGAATAATAATATGATAAAAAAAGTAAAATCATGATCTCGTTATCTTTTGAATGTTATAACTCAATATGTAAAGCAATTGAGGCCGTAGTCCAGATGGAGTTAGTTCAAATATAACCCATGACCCAGGATTTCTAAAATAATTTTAATTATCACCTGTGTATATAATTAGCATCTTATGGAAACGCAGGTTTTACTAAAATACCATTGAATATTCATTTGTATTTTGTGAAGAAAGTTGTCATAAATTTACGATTTTTGATCTTTTACCTGACGAATCCTCGTTGTTAAAATCAAATCATTCAGTTATCACAGGAAACTTATTCGATCAATAATTGATGTAATTCACCAGACAAGTACAGATCAGTGTACTTAAATATAAGTAATACTTTCTATAGATAGGTTAATCATATGGATCTAGCTACCTCCAAACTGAAGTAAATGAAACAGATGTGTTAAGCCTATGACCCCCAATCACTGAAGATCAAGCCCTTCAACTATCAACATATCGCTCTAATTGTAAATAATGTTCCTGTAACGTTGTATCTTAATTGTCTCACATCAGTAGCTCAAATTGATTTATATTGGGTGGTGATATGTTATTTAACTAGGTTATTATATACTTTATGTTTTGATCAGGTTATTGGAATAAGTTACATAAAGAAAGTAAATAGATTGACTAATCTGGTAAACTGAAGATTACTGTTTTGTCATACCGTGTTTTAACCTTCTAGCTACTGTGTCATCAGTATGATTTTAATTATGTCAAATAAATAGAGTCATCCATACAGTACGATCTCAGTTAATCAAATCATTTGAGTGTCTATCTAACCACGTGATTACAACCTCAGTTGTAACATTACCTACTTTTCTAACAAAGTTAGCATTGGATTTAAACTTATATCTAATACGAATAACTAATTCAAGTTGTTACGTAGTGTATTCTAAATTTCTAATTATTCCCTAGTACTAGTCAAAGATGAACTATGTCATCTTGGTACTAAAAAATATGTATTTGCTACATGTCTTACATTGTTTCGTATCATTAGGCAAAAGGAAATAATCACGATAGGAATAACTTATCTTTATTTTCCCCATAATAATAGATAATAATAACTATTATCATTATTATTATTAGTTTGTTTGTAGTTAACATACAGTACAATTGCTTGTTATAATCTCGGCTGATATGTAATCGAAATTATATTAGCGTAAATACTGACTGACATATGTAAATTCTATTGACAAGAATTCATAAACAAACTCATCTAAAACTTGCAACTTTAGCCATTTACTTTCCGCCATATTATTGTTATTATTATTTATATTATTATTATTATTATTATTACCACTTTAAACATTCATGCTTTTTAATATGTGCCCTTATAGGTGATGCAAATTCAGTTGCTGTTACCTTAGAGGATTTGGAAATGTTCGCTGATCTTTTCTATTTACCTTTCTCTCATGGACCTTCAGCTATTCGTCTACTAGAATTAGGACATTGGTTACGCGAATATTCATATGTTTGTGGACCTAACCCATCTGATCTTGAGGTAATACTCATCAATTATGATGACTAATGAGAAGATATTTTTTGTTCTGAAAGTATTGCCTTTATATATACAACATGAAAAAGCATTCCATTAATATTCATTTTACGTTATTTCATACTAATTACAAGTGGTAAATCAGCATGTTTCCGCCTTTTATTCTAAGTAATCAAATATTGCGTTAACTAGCTGAAATGTTGATGACCTTCATTTCATAGGTTAATAATATCTCTGATTTATTTGGCCTTTTAAACTTTTTTGTCTGAACGACCTAATCGTTTCGAAATCCGTGTAATTTATTTTCCTGTCATCTTGGTTCTATTCTTTCCGCCTTGAGATTTAAGAATTGTATATCATCCAACAGGATTTCTGACATCTTAATAATATAAAGTCGCGTTACTAGAACTTCTTCGTCTCCTTTTGTCTCGGTAAGTTGCTTACTTACGCTCGTTACCCCTCGTGGAGGAGCATAGGATGCTCTTTCTTTAGACCATGTACGTCTGTCGACTTTGCTTCGAGAAACTGGAGTATATTACTATGAGATCGATCAAATGATGTGGAATTAGACTTGTAACTCTGAAAATAATGAATGTAAATTCTTCACGTTTGTAGATGCGGGTAGTTCACAGTTATAGAGCTAATTACAGAATTTGATGTTACTAATACAACTAACAACTTATGTGTTTATGTGATTTCTAATTTTAAATAATCCTAAAATCAGTGGTTGGAAACGGGTCGCATAGCTCAAAACCGATCACAGTGGCACCCTTTATCTTCATCCTGACCTTCAGTTTCAGTATTTCTTCATATCTACCTTTTCAATCAGTCTTTTAGGACCGTATTCTCAATATTTAATCTTTCTCATTATCATTACTACGACAATTATTTCAACTCATTCTCTATTAATCTTATTAATTTCATCTAGTGAATACTGATGTGGTGTGGAGAATTCAGCTAACTTACATTTGTATCAAGCTCTGTGTTGATTATGACTGACTGACTAATTAGAAATCAACAAAATACCGTGGTAGTTTCTTTCTTTTTCTCATTTATTTTTTACTTTTAGAAAGCAACTGAATGGAACAAAAAGTTATCAGATTATACAGATATGGTTTCTACAATTGGTCGAATACGAGACCGTATGCAACGCTTACCATCTAAAAGTATCTCCTATGAACTAGTACCATATATAACTGAAGTTCATACTGTGGTGGGAATTATCCTGGATTATTTCCGATGGTTAGGTAAGCCTCACACTAATATATATATATATATTGGCCAATTATATTAACGGTCTGACCAAGCAATACTAGTCAGAGTACTTTCCAAATTCACAACCAGAGGGTTAAAGGGTTCCGCTTTGTTTATTGTTGTCTAAAAACATTCGGAACATATATAGCCAACCATAATCCATATTCAATATCATCGCAGAATGAACGGTAATGTTTTTGGTGGAATATATGTTCTCTATTTGTATTCTGAAATCATGATCATAATAAAACTGATCGCAAGTTAATTCCACTTTAAATTCTCACAAACCTATCAATTGTGACAGTAAAAACCTTCCTATCGGTTGTTCCGAATTTTATTTGTTAATTTATTTCATGAATATAACCTTTCCAAGTCTCCACATTTAGTTTAGTCATCCTTCTGATGTATTATTGTTCTGAACATTTCAAGGAAAATATTGTCTTAAACCGAATAATTCTCCGCCCTTCGGTCCATTCATAAGTTCTATTCATTGAAACGACCAGGGTTTTTGGTGGAATTTTGTTCTCTGAACTGAATGGTTTAATCGTGGAGCTTTCATCGTTATTCTGAACGACATCATCAGCACAAACTTAGGTAGAAGTAAAGTTTTCTCACAATATTGTCCCATGTATTACCCCGAGTTTTCAGATATTTAGCATAACTATGGTGTTTTTCTAAATTTTTTACAGAAACTGGAGTCATGGCTTTTCGAAGCATGTCTCATTTAAAGCGGCTTTTAACATGTAAGTTTTTATAGGTTTGCTACTATTTATACATATTGAATGTCAGTAGTTTAGTAATTAATACAAGATTGAAACTAATCCCGTATAGGATTGCACCGTTGTGAAATTCTAGACTATTATCAAACGTTTATTTATTACTTTCTAGTTTTTATTAATTCTCAGTTTGATCACACGTCATGATCTAAATTATCTTAGGAAAAACTTATCATTTATTGTTGTAGTTGTAGCCAATAGTAGCTGGTATATACATGATTACGCAGGGAAATAGGGAACGTGTTATTGGTTTACAGTAGCTTAGATTTCAAGTTAGAGGACAGTTGTATATTATTAGTTTTAAGGGTAAACTACGGTGGAAATCATTTGTTAGAGAAGGGAAGCGTCTTGAAATAACTCGTTTTGTCTCTAAGCATTTGTCTTCTGTTTAAGTAAAAGTGGGGTACTTTGCGTAATTCCTATGTCCCACCTTTAGGCTTAACATCATTTTAATGTAAATACACGGTGTGTATATTATTTTGGTCTTCCTAGACAATGGTGCTGTCCAGTGTATGGCTGTTTGTTTGTGCTCCAACCGTTGCTGCTACCTTGAAGTGGTGGTCGAGCTTGCCTTTCGTGATGAACCAATCGAGCTATACTGGCTGGAACAATCTTTCCTCAAAGTCCTGCGGTGCCAGACAGGTCGGTTGAAAACTGAAAGCGGCGAACCGAAGGTCCGAGGGCAAAGTCGTACTACTGACTGTACAGAGGTGTAACGGCAGTAAGGTGTTTCCTTCGGATAATCAGCATAACAGCGATGCTGCCTTTTCACAAGGAGTGGGGGGTTTAGAAAAGGTCGACCCTAAAAATGCACACCTCGCCTTATCCCACGGATTTCCGTCTCCGGCGGTAAGGTCCTTTGAAGAACGGAGCTAACACGAAAGTTACTCACAAAAAGGTTGTGTGTGACCGACCTCATGCAGTTGTCCCTTGGGCACTTCCGTCACGCTCTCAGGTCACTAAGACCACTTGTAATCCATTTTTTTAAGTAACTACAGAAGAACCCTTCCAGAGTGTGAGAAACCGGGAAGTGTTAACCACCCTCATACCTCTAACAGCACTCAAGATCACTGTGTTCATAATCAATCTCCCTCTTCAATTCCTATTATTCCCCCTACCTCGAATTTCAATACTAAACTTCGTCTTTCGGCTTCCTCCTCAAGTGTCGCCATGACCAACGATTCTAGTGAACGAAACACCGTCGAGGTCTACTGAAACCTCACTCCAAACTACAAATTTGAGCCTTCAACGTACGTACCCTATTTCGGATTGGCTAGCAGGCTTGCTTGTCTAAAACCATGGAATCTCGTACATTGATGTATGCTGTGTCTCCAAAACACACATACAGGATCCTAATGTGGTCAGTCACTTGACCTCACCTCGCCGAAACGGAGAGCCGACAAGATACACCCTCCATGTATCTGGCAATCCGATAGCTAGTTCTCATTGACTGGCAGGTGTAGGCACTAAGTACGAGTGCAGAACAAGGATCCCTATTAACAGTCGCCTATGTGCTGTTCGGCTAAACAGCTCTGTAAGAACTCGGAAGGATAGGGACACACGTCGTTGCCTTTTCGTCGTTTCTGCCTACACTCCCTCTGACTGCAGCCATGATGAAGTGAAAGATGAATTTTACATAAAGCTCTCTGAACTTCTTCAAAAAGCTAAGCGCTCAGACATAGTACTCGTAGCAGGTGACTTTAATGCCCAAGTAGGTAGCTTAAACCAAACAGAAAGATTGTAAGCATAGATGGATAGTGGCTAGCAGTGGAATCCAGGACGCGCTTTTCATCCCATTTGGGACTCGTCAGATGGATGTACCTACATCTCAGAGTTGATGTTCACTCTGGGACTCGAACCCAGAAACAGAAAGATATTTAGGTGGGTATTTCAGTATCCCAATTCAGCGAACAGATAATGGTGATCGTCTGTTGCAACTATGCTCAGACAATCGTTTATTTTTAGCAAGCACTAATTTTAAACATAAGGAGAGACATCGTCTAACATGGCGACCACCTGCACCAAACCAACGATGGACTCAAATAGACCATATTGTCATCAGTCATCGTTGGAGAGGCTCAATAGAAGATTGTCGCTCGTATTGGAATACTTGTTTAGACTCTGATCACGCTTTAATACGAGCGCGCATTTGTCTGCGCCTCAATGGACGCAGGAAAAGTACACTAAGAAGACCCATTAGGATTGAACTGGAGGACAAGAAAGCCAAATACGAATTCCAGAAACAACTGAGTTCACATCTAGGCAGTTCTGTAAACAAGACTGACCCAGATGCTGCTTGGAAAGACATACGAACAGCTGTGGAAACAGCAGTAACATCTATTAGTTATTTAAACCATAGGGCTCCAAAAAACCAATGGATTTCTTCTAAGTCTATTTCACTGATGGATTCGCGTAAACTCATCCCATCAGGCTCTGAACATGATGAAGAGCGTAAACAAATTAGATCTAGGTTAACTAAAAGTCTAAGGAACGATCGTGAGCAGTGGTGGGCAACAAAAGCAAAAGAGATGGAAAAGGCAGCGGCTGTAGGGAATACCAGGCAACTATTCAGACTAATAAAAGAAACCGGAATTAAGAAGTCAAGTGTAAGTGAGACGATCTCGGAAAAAGATGGAACCCTTATCTGCTCTCAACCCAAACGTTTAGAACGATGGGCGGAACACTTTAAGGAGCAGTTTAGCTGGCCTTCAGCTACTGCACAACTACTCACTATTCCTAGAAAACCTGAATGGAACATTGAAGTAGGCCCTCCGACCCTACTTGAAGTTCAAAAGGCTATAAGTAATCTGAAACGAGGAAGATCAGCTGGTCCAGATGGATTGGCTCCAGAGGTCTTTAAATATGGTGGTCCAATTTTAGCGATTAGGTTGACTACTATTCTGGCTAAAATCTGGGAGACGGACATAATCCCATCTGACCGGTCACAATCTCTGATTATCCCAATATATAAGAAAGGGCCAAAATCATCCTGTGATAACCATAGAGGGATTAGTCTGACTAACATAGCATCTAAAATACTAGCCTCAATAATTATCGGGCGCCTTACTATGACTCGTGAACTGCAAACACAAGAAAATCAGGCTGGCTTCAGACCTGGTCGTGGCTGTATTGTGAAGGCTCTTTACTCGAACACTACCAGTCGAGTGAGAGCTTATGGCGAACTGTCATATGATTTTACAACCTCAAGTGGTGTCCGTCAAGGCTGTCCACTATCCCCATTTTTGTTTAACTTCATTATAGACCTGTTGCTGGAAATAACACTCTCGTCGACTGAATTTTCAGGAATTGATCTTCTACCAGGAGGTTCACTTATCGACTTAGAATACGCAGATGACATAGTCCTGTTCTGTGAAGACACTAGCAAAATGCAGAGTCTTCCGTTAGAACTGAGTAATAATGCCAGGATGTTTGGGATGCGTTTCTCCCCATCCAAATGTAAATTGTTACTCCAGGACTGGCCTGCGTCAACACCTGAACTAAGGATAGGGAGTGAAGTAGTCGAATGCGTCGACAACCTCACGTATCTTGAAAGTCTGATCAGCCCTAATGGGTTGGTGTCTGACGAAATCTCAACACGGATTCAAAAAGCTCGTTTGGCTTTTGCCAACTTACGTGACCTATGGCGAAGACGAGATATCCGTCTATCAATTAAGGGACGAGTATACTGCGCAGCAGTTCGTTCTGTTCTACTTTGCGGCTGCGAAACATGGCCATTAAGAGTAGAAGATACTCGTAGGTTACTAGTATTTGACCACAGATGCCTTAGAAATAATGCTCGCATCTGCTGGGATAACCGGGTAAGTAATAGTGAGGTTAGACACAGGGTATTAGGGAACGATGGTAAATCAGTTGATGAGGTGATGAATCTTCATCGACTGAGATGGTTGGGCCATGTGTTACGTATGCCTGAACACCGATTACCACGACGCGCAATGCTGACTAGTGTAGGGGATTGTTGGAAGAGAGTTAGGGGCGGCCAAACCAAAACATGGCGTCAGTGCTTGAAGTCACTAACTTCTAGTCTGAGCCATGTTGGTAGTTGCAGACTACTTGGTTGGGGTCCATGTGACTACTGTAACCAATGGTTGGAGACTCTGTGTGACATGGCTTAGAATGGATCACAATGGCGTAGGTGTATACACTCTTTATCTTCCCTTAAACCTTGAGATTAAAATTGCTTCATATCTGTCTTTCTTCCTGTACTATATCCTTATATACAACCTATAATTTATATACTACTACCACCACTAAATTAATTACTTCTATGAATCCGGTGTTCATCTTGTTGTGCTAACGAGGTATGGCAACTTGGACCGATGCATATATGTGCGTGGTCCTACGTTGTAGCTGACTGACTGTTTGTTTGTGCCCTGTGATTCCCCATATGGATCAATGTTTTATCCTGTTTCATTTTGTATTTCCTGTAAACTAAAGGAATTCTCGTTATTCTTATTTAAGATCTTCCATTTCTTAAAATTTCAGGGTTTTCACCTGGTTACCGTGATATGGTAACATCTGGTGATCAAGAACCATGGACATTTCGTGGTGGGTTGATAACAGAGCTTCAGGTAAATGAAATTGTACTTTCCAGGTAGCTTTCATCTAGTTGAGTGATTGGAGTTAGTTGACAAAAAAATTCAGATTTAGGCCTTATACTAGTTGACACTCGTCATCAAAGGGTGCCTGCAATCGTGGAGGGACTGGTGCCCCTAGTGGTTCCGGACCCACGTCACGCAGATTCACAGTCTAAGACATTACCATTGAGGTATTCTAAGATCGGCTGACCTCATGTAGGACTGAAATATCTATGACTCGTTGATCGCTATGTGGCGATCGCCGTTATGTTTTTTTTGGTCCTTGAATGCTGACGGAATTTTATCGATCAGGATTAATTGTGACCACTAGTATAAGTGACTCAACATCGAGTGCATTATTTTGAGATGTTGGTCACATTGCAACTTCATCTATAGAATTCGGTCAGCACTAAATTACTAAGCAAACATGACAGAGGTCAGTACTTATTGATCAATCAAGCGGAACTTTTCATCCAATAATAATACGAATTTTCTGTTTTCAACCGTATGCTGATTTCTATACTTAGATGACCATCAAACTCATAGAACTATATATACTTACATAGTTCCAAAAACTGTTTACTCAGTTGTGAACCGATTTGATTCGTTGCTTCCAGGTTTATCAACCAAAAGCTTTACAGTTATATAAATCATACTTAAAAAATAAACGGATCATTAAAGGTAACAAATTATTCCTTGTAAGGTTTTACAATATATATATATATATATATATATATATATATATATATATATATATATATATATATATATTAAAGATGCAATCAGCATAAGCAATTTTCTTAAATGATAAACATGCTATTTTATTTGTTGTGATCCGTATAAGTTGAATTTATTTCAGTTTAAATTTTCAATAGTTTGTTATATTGTAGTCTTTATGATATCAGAATGTCCTTTATTATTTTCTTACATTTAAAGGTCTTTTAAATATGATTTTTTCCCCTTGTTCAGAGAATTTTACCACTCGAATCTGCTCAAGATCTTTTCCCTGCGCCAAGTCGTGCTGTCCCAGGCATGACTACCATTCCTTGTTTGAATTGGCCTGATAATGCAACAAGTGTATACACTCCACTTGCTCCTTCTGTTCCCCCAATGATTCCAATTCAGCCTTCAATCTTCCCAAATTTTTCAAGGTTTCCATCGTATATAGTTCGGCCATATAGACCTGAAGATAAATCATGTATGTATGGTTTATTCAGAAAACTACTTTTGGCTCGTGTTGGTTTACCGGAAAACGCTCTCCCATTAGAATTCCAGGATTTACCAGGTGACAAGTGAGTAAATTCATACATGAAGTATTTATTTTCTAAGATATTTTTAAGAAGCTTATATGTAATTTGAATACACGTTTGATCAATAACTCAGTAAAATTGCTAAATAATCCAGTTTTCCAGGTTCGACCTTGTTTTGAACCGTAGGTGTACACTACTTAAAAATCCTTTCAAAATAGAACGTATCAACTATTGAATTCTCCCTGGTTTTCATTGATTCTTTTGTTGACGTTAGTTGGTAATAAAATTTACATTAGGATATTTGTATATATGCTGAGATCACTATAATGAAATCATCATTGTTTAGTTTTTAATATTTTCAATAAATTTGTTAATGAATATTATTAAATACAATAAGATTCCATAGATTTATTGTCATGGTTATTTTATGGTAAAAAATAGTCAAATAAACATCAATAATTTAAGGTTAATTTATAATATATAACGTAAGTGCATAGCCCACTTATTGTTTATCAGTTTGTTATAAATTATTATTTTGTGATTTAAATGGGCTTTGGATTGTTAACATGAAGTATCCAGTGCTGATCGATAGGTTGAATTACAGTGATACGATGTGACCTGGAAAGTAGTAGTCATACTCAGTATAGAACCTGGCCAAGCGGTAACTTCTCAAGAGACCGAATTATTGGCATAAACCCGCAATGAATCTAGATCAGAAGACAAGACAGTTGACCAACTGAATAGTTTATTTATTTAGTGAAATAACACACTTATGTACAACATATCAAGCCGGCCAAACCAGAACATGGCATCAGTGCTTGAAGTCACTAACTTCTAGTCTGAGCCATGTTGGCAGATGCAGACTACCTGGTTGGGGTCCACGTGACTATCGTAACCAATGGTTGGAGACTCTGTGTGACATGGCTCAGAATGGATCACAATGGCGTAGGTGTATACACTCTTTATCTTCCCTTAAACCTTGAGATTAAAATTGCTTCATAACGTTTTTCCTTCCTATACTATATCCTTATATACAACCTTTCTTTATATACTACCACCACTAAATTAATTACTTCTATGAATCCGGTGTTCATCTTGTTGTGCTAACGAGGTATGGCAACTTGGACCGATGCATATATGTGCGTGGTCCTACGTTGTCGCTGACTGGCTGACAACATATCAAGCAAAAATAAACATGCTTAAAAGCCAGTCGAAACATTAGAAATCGGGAGATACGGATTTCTTAGGTCACCCAAGTCTCAATTATTGTGTTAATTTTTTTCTTCATCACACCACAATTGAGTAATTTTTATAAGTAAAATAAGATTAAGATTAATTTCTTCATAAATTATCGTTGATTGTGATCAGTTTGTAAATAATTGTCAGAGGTTAGTTGTACTACCAAATAAGGTCATTTGAACTACGCAAGAATGCAAACTCATCGTGTCATTTAAATCTGTCAAATATTTTAGTGTGATTTTTATCATTATATCTTGGTTGGTTGAAAGCATAAACTAAATGGTTGTCTAGTATTCTGTTAGTTGTTATTAATCTAACCATTTACTAGCTATTTGGTAAAACTCTTTAAAACTACAGTTTGTGAGCATTTGGGAAAAAAAGGAATTATGGGATTACCATCTTGGTTAGCATTTCCAGGTCTTGTTCATCTAACATTCTAAAAAAGATTGCAATCTACTAACTATGCTTATTGTTCACTACCTTTGTGTGGCGCATATATATCTGGTGCCCCCTTGTATCAATATTTATGTGTTCAAATAAATAAATAAATAAATCGCTGCCTTTAAATGATCAAAAGAAGTTTTTAAGTGTTTTTTTTCGTATAAACACAAATGTACTGCTTACATTTAACTCGTATATCTATTTCCCTGTTACTTCATTCGTGTTTCGTATCAACTTTTAGGTATTTACTTCCATTTCTACAACATTCACCTGAAAGTTGTTTCATGGTTATGGGTCCACCTTTCCTGCAGACCTCAGTTGATTGCTCTAGTTCAGTCACAAATAGTGATCATCCTGCCTCAGGTAATTGTGTTGGCTTTGGTGTTTCAGCACCGGATGCTGTATGTTGGGCTCGTGAACGTACTACTCACTATCGAGAGTCAATGAAATTAAAATATCCACGTGACTTTCAAATTGGAGTACACAGTTTATCGCATTGTAACAAATTAATCGTTGGAAATGGTGAGACCAACAACTCTAACTTGAATGTTACTACTGTAACTGATACTACTCGATTGGAACCTCCTGTAACTTCATCTGCTCCACTCTCCCCTTTAACAGATAGTCGTTGTTCAAGCATTACTCCAAATCAAAATCCTATGGCTGTCGAAGAATTCATTAAGGTGAATAATAATACTAATATTTTTTGCTCATTTACATCATATTAATATTTCATACCTTATCATCTTTGTTTTGTGTTTTGTATCGTTATGATTAATGAATTCGATTCCACATGTTTAATGTATAACGACTGTTTAGACCTACAGATCTTACCGGAGGTAGTAATCATTGCACTAGTTCCATACACACAATTTACAAATTTTCGACGGATCGAATTCACCCAGTAATAATGTTTGAAACGTAGTCAATTTGTTTCAACTAAAGATTATAAAATTCCTTCACTGAAGCTGAGATTTATGACATTGTAGTACTGGGTTCCTGTGTCATTATTAAGTAAGTTTACTGATCTGTATGAAGTAATCCACTGATTCAAATTTCCATACTACTCCAGCTAAATGAGATTTTGTTTAAATGAACTAAAAAAGTACCCAGTGAATATTAAACTAAGTTGGCAACAAGTTCAAATTTATACGAAATTAGCTATGAAATATATGTTTCGTCATAATGGATATCGAAATGTGTTTACTTATGATATCTAACCACCGATGATCATGGCTATACTGATTAACATTGAAAGATAGGTACAGCTCGTCACAATCAACTACACAAACTGTAAATTATTAACTACTTAAAGTAATAGTAACGTCTTAGTCATTTTTTTAATTTTCAGTCCATGATTTCTTCTTTCCACAATGATACATCTGAAGTTGTTGATATTGCTGCAGCTGTGAATTTACTCCCTCCTCCTGAACCACTTGGTGGATGCCTTCCTATGGAGCCACCACTATCTGGTTGTTTGGAACAATGTGAACCTAATTGTACGACTGCTCCAATTACTTCTAATATTCCTACTGATTTGTCATCTCAATTAGAACTAAAATCTTCTTTTCCTATTGATGAATGTGGTACAACTATCTCAGCTTTACCTTTGCCTACACCTATTTTACCAGATACTGCTCCTCCATCTCCACCGTCTGGAACTATATGTGCACCATCATTAGTGCCTGAGACATGTTCAAGTAGTCCTGCAGCAACAAATTCAGTGATAGCTCGGAATCTTATTGTTGCTGGTGGACCAGAAGCACTTCATAGTGCTTTAACAGCTCATCCCGCTATTATATGGATTGAATTTGATGATATAGGATTAAATAGTTGTGTTAATGGTCCTACACCTGCTATGCTTATTAATCATAATCTTGGATTATGTGCAGATTCACCTGAAGTGTTGTTGGATTCTGTAGCACGTCGATTGTTTATTTGTTTGTTAGCTGCATTAAAGACAGTTGGCGCTCATGTAAGTCCTTAAATGATAATTTGTCATTATAAAATATGATTGATAAATTTCATTATTGTAAATAACTATAAATTACGGAAATTTATAAACAGTACAATTTTGTAAGATATTATAACTGTTATGTTTCAACTTGATCAATAAAATTCTTTTGGTACTAAAAGACATTCGACAAGCATGACAGTAGTCTCAACTCAGTGATTAATCACTTATAAATAATCGTTAATGTAAATATTTATGTAAAGAATAAACTATATTATCTTGGATTAAATTGAATCTATTGTGAAATATTCAAATCTACATTTAACAAATGCTTAGAACTAATTAGCAAGGATTGTTTAAAACCTGAATGTCATACTCTTGTTCATTTTAATTAGAAATTTCTGTCAGAGGATCAACTTTAAAATTTTAAACTGAACCAATCAATCAGATTGTGACTAAAGTTTTACAAGTATATCATGTGATGAAATTGACAATCTTCGAACAAAATTTCCAATGTTTATGCTCATATCATCACATTGGTTACTTTCAGAAAGCCAATTCATGTAAACTGAAAACACTTATATTTAGAAGGGGATTTGTGGAGATTTCAGTATTTTTCAAAGTTGAAATCATGAGTCAATTGAAGCTAGACCACCATCGAAAACCTGGAAGCACTGGACGGCCGTTTCGCCCTATTATGGGACTCCTCAGTAGTGCGCATCCACGAACCCGCTCTCGCGAGATTCAGACCCAGGACCTACCAGTCTCGAGCTGAAACCCTTAACCGATAGACCACTGAGCTGGCATCCAACGGTGTTAATGTCTAACTTCAACTGATCCACGAAGTTGAGCAACCATTCACCAATTGTCTTCAGTGAGTTCCTGTCTCACAACAGACGTGGTTGAACTCCACTGGTCACTGCTTCCCACTGGAACTCCAGGACATGTATCTTGAAGTCAGTCACTAGTGAGCATATGATTATATTTAGAAGGGGATTTGTGGATCAGTTGAAGTTAGACATTAACACCGTTGGATGCCAGCTCAGTGGTCTATCGGTTAAGGGTTTCAGCTCGAGACTGGTAGGTCCTGGGTCTGAATCTCGCGAGAGCGGGTTCGTGGATGCGCACTACTGAGGAGTCCCATAATAGGGCGAAACGGCCGTCCAGTGCTTCCAGGTTTTCGATGGTGGTCTAGCTTCAATACACTTATATTTCTTAAATTGGAATAGAAAAGTTATGTTTATTTTGTAGATTCATCATTCATGTCGTGTTTGCTGTTAGTTTATGAAGTTCGACTTTTTTTCTAAATTATATTGGTTGATAATAATGGATCACTTAGTTTTAACCCGACAACAATATTATCGAGACATTATATATATAGTTAATGTAGCCTGCATTATCGAGAAAGATTAGTTGAACCTGTCTAATGTACAAACAAAAACCATTAAATAACGAGAAAATGTAGTTTTTGTGATTCAATAACAAAGAATAATGCACTTGATACGAAAGATACAAGATTGTGCATTGTGTCGATCATTGGCAGTTACTGGAATCCAACTATGTCCAGTTGATGAGTCTTTATATGAGACAATACCCACATTCTGAATTTCATCAATAGTCAGTATGCAATAAACAACTTTTTTTTATTTCGTTCAAGTTCTGTTAGTGGTATTATTTATAATGGGGATTACTTTTTAAACTTTGTATTTATAGTATTTTTATTTTACTTAAGGGAGTACATGTACAGTTGGATACTATCAATGAACATCGAGCAGAACTTTATCGACGTTTTGGTTTTTATCCTGTTCCAGCAGCTTCAAATGAACAAACAACTGTTTTAGCTCGTTTAATTTGATTTAAAAAAATTCTAATCCTCTTCCAGTCATATAATATATATGGCATAGTTTTTTTTGTGTGTGTGAAGTGTGCAATTATCAATGTTGATCATGGTGATATTGCTTAAATAACGTTCCCGTTCTAAATCTATATTCTTAAATGTTATCACTGTAGATTATAAATTCACACAAATACATCCATACATATAGTTGTTTGTTTGTATTAATAATCCAAAAAAAACTATTCTGCACATTAATGAATTTGGTTTTGATGCGTACATGCATTTCTATTTGTATGTATGCTTGTTATAGAAATATAAGTTTATTATGTTTATTTAAACAAGTGAATCTAATTCGTTTTTGATATCCTCTGGCTAGATATTAAATGCACAAAAGTTTAAAAAACAAAGGATGCGTATAGTATATATATATATATATATATATATATATATATATATATATATATATATATATGCATACAATAAAGTTGAAAGTGATCTCTTATAAATTTCTTTTGATCTCTTTCAGCGTATGCTACATACATAAAATACATGTAGTTTTTTTTTAAAAAAAATAATTTTTAATTGTTATTTGTGCCGATATTAATGTTGCTTCTTCTTACAGGAGGCTAATTTTAATATAAATTGGATGAAAATATAATTTGTTGACCTTTTCTATTTTAAAATTTTGTATAGTTTATACATAAACTTTTGAGGATGTATATACAACAGAAATGAATGTCCAGAAACTAGGAATAATACTTTTGCTATATACTTAATATATTAAATGTCATTGTACTATTCATTGATGAAATGACTAGTAAAATTATTGAAATCATAAGGTCCTTGTTAAATTAAGTCGAAAGATGTATTTCATAGACTGATGCTTATCAGAAGTATAGTTTTAACACATTATGTCTCTCGATGCGTAGCATCAATGTCTACATAAATTTCTGCTGGTGATAAAGGTGAATCATCTATCTGAGCAAAAAATATATTTAGTAATCCCACATACATTTAAACAGTCGGACGTGAGTTACAGCCCCCAAATGCCCTGGTACGACCGAGAGTGAAGAGAGTCCTCTCTCCTTCTCGAAATGTTCTCACATGGCCACTCGTATATAGCCTCTGCCAGGGAAGTCCTAATCACTGCCTTCTCGTGGCGGGGGGGCTGTTTACGAAATTCAGAGGACGAAAAGCGAATGTTCGGCGATCTAACCCGGTTGGTGGACACGGGAAGTCCACCTAGGGGAGTTGGAAAACCTTGATTCCAAACCATTGGGGCACATAGGCTCCAGTATCCTAAGGGAAAAAATGGCGTATGAATCAATTGTTGGTCACCGACTACCATGGGACTGCATCTCCTTACGATGCTCCACTGCCTTGTGGATTAGACCTTTAGGTCAAATGCTCTGGGTGTGGCACCCTGAAAAGACCATCTGCTTCAATTTGGGCACCTGAGCAGTATCACAGCCCTCACACAAATCGAATGAGATTTGTGTGGCGCATATATATCTGGTGCTTTTTGTATCAATATTTATGTGTTTAAATAAATAAATAAGTACGTTAGTTACATTAAATGTTCATCATATGTTCCGCAACGAATTTTATGGATAGCTGGGTCAAGTAGCGTTAAGTTTTCATCCTTCAAAAAATAACCTATATTATCTGAGTAAATACTGGGAGATGGGACGCTACGTAAGACACTGATTACTATTAATATCATAGAGATTATAAGTTTATTGTTGGTGATAAATAAACATTAACTTTTAAGTACATTGTACAACTTTCTAACAATTAAATTTACTTACAAGGGAATATGTCTATCCTCATCAAATTGTGAAATATGCTCGTAAGCAATTCGTTGACTGGACCAGGCTATTAACTCACATTTCTAGATATAAAACAAACCTTGGTAAACTTGGAAACCACACGATCCGTTGTTTAGTTCTTTCCTTACTACAATCTATAGATAGAAATAGAGCAATTGCAGGTTTCCCTTCTGTAAAAGTAGGATATCGTCAATAGTTTCACAAAATAGTATGTTTTGACCTAATGTATTTTTCTTGTCCTTCCGTTCAGAGTTGCATTTGTTCCATACATTGTCGTTTTATTTCTTTATGTTCTCTAATCTATAGAACTTGTAACCTTGTGTGATTTTCTTATTCTGAGAGCGAATCTTGTAGTTTATTCTTGTTGATAATTAGTATTCATACTTGAAAAACTGTGCAAAAATTCTTGATTCATACTGTGTCCTATAATTTGATAAGCTATTTCATAATCTCAATGTCACTAGTATATAACTGCTAATGTGAATAAAAAGCTGAATTCGAACACTTTCATGTTTAATTCATTTCTTTGTTTTCTAGTGTTTCTCCGTGATACGAAATGAAAGCAGAACCTTCTTCTTATTAGGGCATAAATCTATACTAAAATAAACATTACACTATGCACATTTTATCATAAAATATCCGTTAATTAATAAAACTTCTAAAAGATGTGAAGTAATGAAATGATTCTTAATCGAAGTAAGCTACATTCCAGACAAATCATAATTACAAAATAATTGAAAAAGAGTTTATTATTTATTGTATGTGAAATATTTTTAAATCTATTAGATCTACAATAACCGAATACTGTATGCACATCTATTCTTTTAAGTTAGTGATAATAGTACTAATATAAGTGGACATCTGTTTCAAGTTACACGAGTAAATGGATATCAAAAATAATAAATATTTGTAATATAAAGTAAACGAGATCAAGTCATTAGAAAATGTGAGAGAATAGAAGTTGAATAATAAAAGTAGAATAAACAGTTCAGTAAACTCATAGGATGGCATCAAAGAATAAATAAAGTGTAAATTGAAACTAAAATCTTTGCACAGAATGAAGTCATATATGGAAATCGAAGTATTTCGTTAACTTTGGTTATGTTAACTAATAATCTAAATCGATGCTTATATTTCACATCGAATGTGATGTCTTAAAGAAATAATCATATCTATCACGTAATTCAAATTTTAAACACTAATCATCATTGACCTGTCAATTTATTTGTAATACAGGTTAAACTTAACGAATGCATTAGTTATCCTAAAAATCTTGAATAAGAATCCAGTTTACGGTAAATGAGCATTAAAATTCTTGCAATACATTTTATGATACGATTATTGGATTAAGTGTGAAATCCATAATTTCCATTTGAAAGCATGGTACTGTAATACTGATATTTGGGTGAGAATTGTAATGATTGGTTGTCTGCTTACTCAAACATGTAAATAGTCTGACAGATGAGTTATATATTCCCCTATCCTTATTATTATTGATTGACTGTTCATTGTTGTTGCATTGGGTCGCGTTTTGGTGTGGAGATATTTACGTTCTAGACAGGCTAATCACGTGTTATTGATCTGAGTTGTGTTGAAGTCCTGTAGAATGGACACTGGGAGGGAATCTAGTGTTGATATTCGTCTAAAGTAAATTAACTTCCCATTTGTGTAAACAAAGAAAACGGGACCGTTATAACAAATATGAAGTATCAAAAAACTAATCATGTACTATTATGAAGTCATGTATAGATGGGTTTTAAGTAAGCCATTTAATATCAAAGATGTGTAATGTTTAAGGAAATTAAGCTTCATTTGGCTGAAGTGCTATATCTGTAAATCGCGCACTGAGAAATTTTTGTCAGAAAATGCATTCAAATGATTTAAGCTACTTATGAGTAGATAAAGTCAATTGTTATTTATTACGACAACTGACTTCGTAATCAGCACAAACTTTTCAAAAGTTCGCAAATCGAATGAGAACATCTCAAAATCTCATCTGAAGAAATCAGAGTTCGTTTTGCCGAGTTTCAGATTTTTATTATTCTATTTGATTTTTGATATTTGAATATGGAATCTAGTGTGAAAGATACCTGTTTTCTTGAAATCGTGGGTTTTAATACATTATGTACGAGAACATTTTGAACTCAAAAGGAATAAAACAAGTAATACACTTGAATAAGAGGAAATATATATTTTAACAATAGACTGATGATATAAATACTGCATTTTTCAAGCAAATAATTAGTTAATAAAATCTATGGTACAGAGAATGTATTATATATTACTTACGAATGTTACCCCCCATGGAGCATAGGCCGCCGACCAACATTCTCAAACACACTCACTCTGTTCTGAGCCTTCCTTTCTCGATCTGTCCAGTTTTTGTTCATTCTTCTCATATTTGTTTTCATTTCTCGGCGTAATGTGTTCCTTGGTCCTCCTCTTCTCCTTTGGCCTTCAGGATTCCACGTAGGGGGCTTGCCTTGTGACACAGTTGGGTGATTACCTCAATGTGGGTCTTATCCGCTTCCATCTCTTCTTCCTGATTTCTTCCTCCGCTGGATGGAATCTGATCTGTTCGCTTCCACAGCAGGTTTTTGCTGATAGTTTCTGGCCAACGGATCCGAAGTATTTTGCGTAGACAACTGTCGATAAACACCTGTATCTTCTGGATGATGGCTTTCGTAGTTCTCCACGTCTCCGCCACATACAGTAGAACTGTCTTGACATTTGTATTGGGAATTCTGACTTTGGTGTTGGTTGACAATTGTTTTGAGTTCCAGATGTTCTTCAGTTGTAAATATGCTGCTCTTGCCTTGCCGATCCGCGTTTTCACATTTGCATCAGATCCACCGTGTTCATCAATGATGCTGCCCAGATATGTAAAGGCTTTCACATCCTCCAGAGCTTCTCCGTCATGTGTGATTCGATTGGTGCATGCTGTATCGTATCGGAGGATCTTGCTTTTCCCTTTGTTTATATTGAGACCTACTATTGCTGAGGCTGCTGCTACACTGGTCGTCTTCTGAATTTGTTGTTGTGCGTGCTATAGACGAGTCAGATCTGAGAAGTACAGATCGTCCAACTGCATCCTAACTGTCCACTGTATGGTGAATTTTACCTAATTGATTGTTCCACAATGATCCGTAGGGTTGCGATTTGGTCAGTACACAATCGATCGTTATAGAATCCAGCCTGTTGGTCTTGAAGTTGGGCGTCTAGGGAGTCCTTCATCCTGTCTAACAACACCCTGTTGAAGACTTTTCCTGGTATTTAGAGTAGAGTGGTTCCTCTATAGTTATTACACTTGCTGAGATCGCCTTTCTTTGGTATCTTGATCAAAAGTCCTTCTTTCCAGTCTATTGGTACTTGTTCTTCATACCAAATCTTGGTGAAAAAAATGTGGAGTATCTTTGCAGTTTCTGCTACATTTGCTTTCAGTGCCTCTGCCGGAATGTTGTCTGGTCCTGCTTAGTGGCTAATTAATGAATTTTTGTCAAAATAATTTCAGTCTT